CAAGTGGTTTTATTTAATTCTAACTAGAGTTCAGTCCATTTTTGTAATTAAAGCATAAGTAACCTACACCACACTTTTTAGTGCTATGTATAGTGTATTGTGTAGGTGCAAAGACATGGTGATGCTGAGAGCAACAGACCGACAGGAGAAAATTGATGCAGTTCAATTAAATACTTACCAAAGATGGACCACCATAAGTTTTGTTTTGCTCCTGTAGTTAAAGACAAATAATTTCAGATATGAGTTAATTTTTAAAGATGATTTGGCTATGAAGGTATTGTTGAGGTACTTGTGTAGGAGACTAGAGGTACAGACCGGCAATCACTAATCTGGAACTAATTTTGGCAAGTGTCATTGGTAAAAGTTTATGTCCCAGGGCTTTCAAAGGTATGACCCAGTTTCCTGTGATTTACTGTGCCAGGGCCGGCACCCTACAGGTTAGTGATGGTCTACCTGTATCTCCATCAGTTTATCCTAATATGATGAAATATATCAAGCTATTTAGGCAGAGGTATTCTGACGGCTGGTGAAGAAAAGATGCAGGTGCTTTGCAAGATTTCATTGTGACAATGTTAAACTCTAAAAGAGCTTTGTCACATCATTGACTTGATAAAGCTGTACATAGAGCAGTGTTGTGTGACTCCTACAGGTTTAGTGCTTCCTCATAAAAACATAATAATAATAATTATGATAATGTGCATAGAGTGTAACATTGTAACAGTAACTCGCTTTGCACCTGCCTCATATCTTATTATTAAGCTTTTGCTATTAGTGCTGTACTGTAGATATCATTTTGTGGTTTATTTTGAATATAATAATGATGTACTATTATTATCATTCCTATGCAGTTTTCCCCAGATTTTATGCTAATTTGCTTTCATGTGGTCACCCCATTTCTAAAAGTAATTTGCTGTATGTGATATAAAATCATTTATGAGATCACTGAAGTCCAGCGCCGATTGTTGTTTTAACCATATCTAATTAAATATTGCTATAAATTGGTTTATACTCATGGTCATAAAAAGAAGAGAACAAAAACAGATTTGAACATGGAAAAACTAGTCAGTGTTCCAGATAACCAGGCTGTGATGGATATGTGAGCCTGCAGGCTGCAAGCAGCATCAGCCTGGTTGACCGAGCAAGCACCAGCCAAGCCTGGCCCAGGGCTGGACTGCTGGGGTAGGTAAATTCCAAACTCATCAAAAGTACATTCTTGAATGAATGCCCAGGGCTGGCTTTCAGTTGAAATGTCTTGTGCAAAGTGGACGGAACATGACCACTTGGTTGGCTGACCTAGAAACGGGACTAGGGATGGAGGGAGGGAAGAGTAGCAGGCAGGTATGTATTTGCAGGTTCATAATACCAGCACTTCACCCCAGACCAAGACAGGCTGGATGGTTGGTAGTGGTGAGAGGAGGAAGAGTAAAAGGGAAGAGGAATATGATTGCATTTTGGATTTAATTTTTTTCTCATTGAGTTTTTGACCATTTGTATTTATTTTAGATACATATTTATGACCATTTGGTGCCTATTTTGAAAACTATTAATTTATTATATTAGCTCATCTTTTCTCAAAGCCATGTATGATCTGCTGTGACCAAACAATCTAATGCTAAATGTCTGATGAAAATGTTATCCAGATACCTCATTGTTGTCATAAATAAAGGTGAAAGATGAACAAAAACTAGCTATTGATTATCTTAACTCTTTTCTTGCTTCATATTTTTGTAGACTAATAGATTCATAGTACATGTACTTGATACTAGTGCAATGTCATTAACATTATGGAATAATAATGTTGATTTTAACTTTTGTAGAGTGTGTTAGATTTCATTTTTTTGAAAGAGAGTCGGTGTGTGAAGGTGGTGTTTACTTGAGAGATTTACCTGATGTTCAGAGTTGCTAAGTTAAAGTGATCTATGTTTTAGTTAGACTTATTATTTTCGAATTGAAAATGCAATTGCAGGAGCGTAGCTCGGCATGTATGTATATGCACTGCAAGGGCTCTATTGAAATATTCTTTCCGATCTTGTGATGTCACATCTGTCAATCTTGACTTTTCTGCTTTGAAACAAATTAAAACTTTTTCCAGAGATTCTTGAAGTCAGGGAAGGTTGCAAAGCTTAGCCCTTCTTTTTTTTTTTTTTTTTTTCAACAGTCGACCGTCTCCTACCAAGGCAGGGTGACCCAGAGAGAAAGAAAATCCCCAAAAAGAAAATACTTTCATCTTCATTCAACACTTTCACCTCACTCACACATAATCACTGTTTTTGCAGAGGTGCCCAGAATACAACAGTTTAGAAGTATATACGTATAAAAATACACAATATATCTCTCCAAACTTCAAAGTATATGTCAGAATTTTACAGCAAGGTTACTAATCATTTTTATTGAAAACCAAGAGGAATTCATTTAAACTTTGTTTACAGTGGCAAGTTGAAATTAAGACACAGGTGCAACATCTGGGTATCTTTATTATAGACGTTTCACCATCCAGTGGCTTTATCAATACAAATTCTAGGACATAACTTGAAGAAAGTAGAACTATGTACAGAAGATGAGGTAATCAGTCCCTCAACCTTGGAGTAGGTGCGAAGAGCACCGTAGTCGTGGAGATACTGAAGCAGAAGCAAGGAGCCTGGCGCTTATATAGTAACGTCAGGTGTAGCAGACGAGGGCATAGTCACTGGTAGGCGGGATTCCCCAGTGGAAGTAGGTCCTTCCCAAAGAGATGGGTTAGTTGGCAAGTTAAATAATATTGTTATTATTACTTTGAATTAGTTTATTTAATGACTCAGTAAAACCATTATTTATTATTATTCATACTTCAGCTTTCTGGAAAAATGTAACAGTGATATTTGTTTACCCAAGGATTATTTTTTCATTACATGCCACTGATTGTTGTTGATACCATCCTTCAAGGTTGGGGAAGGGGTTAATGCTGGTGAGTAGATCTTGATTCAAGGAAATAGAGCTATCAACTTCCTCAGATGAAATCTGATTACCTCCCATTCCCCAGGCACTGCATGATCCCTATGAGTTTATTGCTTCCCTACAAATATAACAGTAAAGAATTAGACACATGTGCAACATCTGGGTACCTTTATTTGTAGATGTCTACAATTAAAGATACCCAGATGTTGCACGTGTGTCTAATTCTTCATTTTATCAGTATTGTATATCATTTATGTACAAATACATTATTAAAGGAATATTGATTTCCAACCCAGTAATTATATCCTTTTTTCACTTTACTGAATTGGAAATTTCACCTTCAGTTAGTGGTTCTTGAAGGTTATCTTCCCTACAGCCCGTCTCAGAGCAGGTGTCCTAGGTTGGAAAGGAAGTACGTACAGGGTATAAAAGAATTAACACCTATTAAAGAGCTTATTGGAGAGTAATGTGCAAACTGAATGTAAGTACAGAGTGACTGGCCTGTCTTGCATGTTCATGAAACAGAAGGAAATGCTCAACAATTCTGCAAGAGTGCAAAGAATTAACAGGTTTCCATTTCATGGTCATTTAAGAGAACAGTAGTTCCTTACTGGATAGTTCATGAAATCGTAATAAGACGATTGCAAACAAACCATGGAATGGGTGGGGTTTGAACCTATGGCAAATGAATCTTAAAACTCCAGGCCAGTGCATAAGCCACTAGGCCAGCTGGCTACAATAAGATTCATCCAACTAGGTATATTTATACACCATAGGGAGGCTAGCATGGGTCCCCTGTAACCCCAAATGCAAGTTTTTATTTGCTTGTTTGTGAAGGTCTTGATGCTGCTGTAAGGCTCTTGATTAAAGGATTTTGATCCAAATTTCCCTTGGATCGAACCTGTTTGCCTCAGATTTCTCAGGCTTTGTATGACCTCCCTCTGAGTTCAGCATTTCCCTACAAATACATGTAATAATACTGAGTTGCAGCAAATTATGTTTAGTAATGTTTATCTGTATTCAGTAATTGTTGTACAAATAATTTTTCAAGTTGCTAAACTCTTCTGGCTACACATTTGGTTTTTTATGGTTGTTGTAATATGTGTCACAAGGTTCTTTCATAACACATTTCCACCAAATTCTTTGAATTCAGAACTAAACCCTAGCCAGTTCATTGAATGACTGAGCCTCGTGCACTTTATTCTCTTCCCCATCCCCTCCCCTATGGTGTTTCTACACATGCACAGATACACTCATCCTCTCTCTTCCTCCTACACACACACTCATCCATCCATACATATATACATTTTTTTTTAATACCGGCTGTCTCCCACAGAAGCAGGGTGGCCTGAAAAAGAAGAAATGCTTTCATAAAGTTTTTCTTTTTACATTTAGTAATTATATATATACAATTATGTAATATATATAGTATATTACTGCACTTTGCTGTATTTTTTCTCTATTACTTTTTTTTGGCTTATTAACTTTTTTATTTTGAACATGTAATACATGAGTGCTTCAGAAATGCTAATGAATTAGTAGTTGACTTATTGCATCGGTGTTACTATTCTACATGAAGGTCATTGAATATTTTAAAACATTAGCCAAGACTTCTCTCAGACATAAGAGGGAGAACAGTGAAATGGTGTACAGCCTCTTCTCACTTAATGATGGAGTTCTGTTCCTAAGACCACGTCAGTAAACAAATTCGCCGCTAAGTGAGGAGCATATTATAATGGTAATGAGTTTGTGTCAACCATCTTTGATATTATTTTAATGTCACGTTTGCACCATTTATAAAATTTTTAGTATATTTTTAAATGTTTATACAGTAGTGTACTGTATATTGTAATAAACAGAATAGCGGAAATCAGGTCTAATACACATTTAGGTGCGCATACTGGTCAGAGAGCCCATTGTAAATCAGAGTCATCGGTAAACGAGTATGTTGCTAAGTGAGAAGAGGCTATATTTGAAGAAAGGATGATTGCGATGAATGTAACTGTAGGCTTATATGATTTTAGTTGGATGTATGATTATTTTGAGTAATAAGTGATAATAAAAACTTTTGTTAGGGTTTGGATATTTTATGCATAAAAGTAGATTTTACATTAAAATTAAAGATTGATGAGATTTACAGGTTTTATCTTCTCCTCTTGGGTAAATATGACTAATGGGTAGCATCAACACAGATGTGTGTGTGTATATGTGAATCTTTGTGTTAGCTGAAAACTTGTCATAATACGTTGCATGTCTTATCATTTCCACTTAGATATGAAGCATTGCAAAATGGCGTGATGACATCAGCATCTGAACTTTGATTAAAACATTTTAGTTAAATAAGAAATAAATATAAGAATTTAGTTTTTCTCTAAACATTAAATATGTATCTTAAGGCTGTTTTTACCAGGGTTCAGATGCTGACATTGTCTCTCCATCTTGCAGTGCCGAGCATGTACAGAATGTGTTCCTTTTTGAGTAATAGGTTCAGAGGTCAAGGACACTGAGGGCAGAGGTCAAATGTCTGAATGGATAATTGTGCTTTGCATTGTTATTTTTTATATCTGCATAGTTTCCCAAGGAAATACTATAATTATGTTTCCAGTATACTTGCATGTATATTTTGTAAGAGGGGGCACATTATTACTGAAAATTTATTTTGCCATCAGTGTTATATCTTAGTGGAATAAGTGAGTGGAAATTAATGTAAAGTGAAATAAAGGAAATATTTGTTTAATGTCGAAATGATTTACCAAAATAAAATGCTTCTGCATGTGTTGAGGCTAATGCACTCCAAGAGGTGTTAGTGTTTGTGTACATCCCTCAAGGAAGGTTTCTCAGTGCTGGAAAGTGGCTCGTGATGCAATGAGTTAGACCTGTCTTTGCCTTCCTTCAATTGAACTTGAGTGCCTCCCATTCCCCCAGGTACTGTATGACCCCTGTGGATCTACTGCTTACCCTTAAATGTAAATATAAAAATATACACAGCCTCTCCTCACTTAATGACGGAGTTCCGTTTCTAAGACCATGTCAGTAAGTGAATTCGTCACTGAGGGGCATATTCTAATGGTAGTGGGTTTGTGTCAGCCATCTTTGATATTATTTTAATGTCACCTTTGCACCATTTATAACATTTCTGGTATACTGTATTTTTAAACGTTTATACAGTAGTGTACTGTATATTGTAATAATGGTCAGAGAGCCCATCGTAAGTCTGAGTCGTCGGTAAATGAGTACGTCGCTAAGTGAGGAGAGGCTGTATAGTGCAGCATGTATTTTTGTTTTTTGTGTACTGGCCGTATCCCACCAAGGCACAGCTAAAATGAAAAACGATAGTTTTCTTTTTCTTCTTTCTTTCAACACACCGGCCGTATCCCACCAAGGCAGGGTGGCCCAAAAAGAAAAACGAAAGTTTCTCTTTTAAATTTAGTAATTTATACGGAGAAGGGGTTACTAGCCCCTTGCTCCCGGCATTTTAGTCATCTCTTACAACACTCATGGCTTATGGAGGAGGGATTCCTCTCCACTTCCCATGGAGTGCAGTATGTGCATATATCAATGTACAGTTCTGTATAACCCTTGTGGGTTTAGTTATGATTATAATAATAATATATATCAGTGCAAATAATGATGATTTAACATTTCACAGTTTTAATGTTGTTTGGAAGACGTTTTAGCATGAGCTTGAAGTCCGTTTCACCAGATGTAATGGAGTTTTCAAGACCAAGGTAATCATACAAGGTGGTCAGATCGAGGGTTTTCAGAGTCTCAAATTCAAGACGAGTGCAGATCTTGGCTGTGAGACTGTTAGCCGCCTCCAGGATCACTGCTTGGTATCCACGCTCTGCCCCAAGTGACACAGTTTTCTGAAACATGAAACCTATGTTCTTCAAAAACATATCAAAGAATGTTTGTTGAACTTTTAAGTTCATTACACCATTTGTCAAGTTATTTATTTACCCATTAGGTTTACAAATTGGCCTCCCTTCAAGAGGCAGTTCAATAATGGGCTCTTGATCTAAGGTATTGGAGCTACCTTTGCATTCCTTGGAGCAGTGCTGTATGAGCTAGTGGATTTAGCACTTGTTTTTGATTATAATAATCCATTCCTTGGATCAAATTTAATTTTCCCTTATTGCTATGTGCTCTATGTCTCCCCTAATAGGAGGTTTCTTGAATTAGATCTATGCTCAAGTTCCCTGGATTGAGCCTGAATTCCTTCCATATAACCCCCACAAGTACTGTATAATCTCTATGGGTTTAGGACTCCCCCATAATAATAATAATGTGTGTTTTGTGATATTTACGAGATTAGCTCTCTTTTTCCCAATGAATGCAATGATTTACCTGTAAAAGTCTTCCTCCGAGGCCACGATTTCCAACATCTTCATGGACACAGAGGAAAATTAAGTAGAGCATTCTGTGGGCGTCAATCTCTTCAAATACAGTGACACCATCGTAGAGCTTCTCCAAAACACGGTAAAGCGCACTCAAATTATCCTGTCAGTGTATCATTCACAATACATTAAATGTTGATCAAAATCTAATAATGTCATTTATCAGCTATAATAAAATTGTTGGTGTATCAGTTACCAAGGTTTATATTCTAGTGGTTCAGTGCTTCCCTGATTCCCATTCTTTATTTATTCAGACTTACTACAATAAATATATTTACCACTCACTATAAATTAAGGATGAAAATATTTTGAGCTAAGTAACGTGTGTATTGTATCTGAAAGTTTTAAGCCTAGCTTTGTTGCTCACTTAATGTATGATAGTGTAAACATGTTGATTTTTTATATATTTGAAAATGAAAAAAAAAAAAAGTCTTATTTTGCTTTACAGCAGTAGCCCAGACCCTAATCTGCTGTATGAGTGGGGCCCTCCTAGAGAGAGATTTTCTTCGGATTTTTAACCCCAGAGGGTTAGCCACCCAGGATAATCCAAGTAACTCAGTGTGTCATCAAGGACTGTGTAACTTATTTCCATTGGGGTCCTCACTCTTGTCCCCCAGGATGCGACCCACACCAGTCGACTAACACCCAGATACCTATTTGCTGCTAGGTGAACAGGGCAACAGGTGTAAGGAAACACGTCGAAATGTTCCCACCCACCCGGAATCAAACCTGGGCCCTCCATGTGTGAAGCGGGAGCTTTAGCCACCAGGCCACCGGGCCACTCTGCTAGTACCAGGATGAGCAGTGCTGTATGACCCTTGTGGGTTTAGTGCTTGGTTTTGATTATAATAATGATGTACTGGGATAAAGAAAGCATACCATTGAAGAAATCTTGCCGAGAACTTCCAGGTTGAAGGTCTTGTTGAGCACAACCCCAACCAGCATCTGGGTCACCTTGTGTCTGGCACCTACAGACACACCTGATGCCAAGCACTCTCGAATGTCTTGCTCAAATGGCTCTCCTAATGACCTCGTTGTGATCTGCCCAGCTGCCTGGCACTGCACATGACAATACGTATTGTTAATGTTGATAACCTGGTCTCTGACTTGGGCGAGTTAAACTCTTATTTTTAACTAATACTGTGCTAACAAACTGGCTCTCCATGACCCTTGTGGATTTAGTGCTTAGTTCTGATAATAATAAAAATAATAATAAACTGATAAAGAATTTTACATTTACAAAAAATTAGAGATAAAGCATTATTGAATTTCAAGCCCCTCGAGGGAGGTTTCTTGATGCTGGTGAAGGGCTTTTGATCTAGGGAATTTAATCTGTGCTCCAGTTCCCTGAATTGAGCCTGAATACCTCACATTCCCCCCCACATGCGCTGTATAATCCTATGGGTTTAGCGCTCCCCCATGATTATAATGATGAATTTTCAAGAGTTTCCTTCATGCTAGAAAAGAGTGCCTGCCCCCTCAAAAGGCATTCCTTGATACCAGTGAGGGGTCTCTTGATTCAAGGAATTGGACCTGCTCTTCTCTTAGATTAAATCCGAATGTGTCTCCCTTTTCCCCAAGTTCTCTATGACCCCTGTGAATTTAGCACTCCCCCATAAAAGTAATAAGGAAAAGCTCTTGATCTAAGGAATTGGAGCTCCACCACTTCATCAAGGTCATTCCACTTCCCAACTACCCTGAGACTGAAGAAATACTTCCTGACAAATCTACGATTAATTGGTATATTCCCCAGCTAGATGCAGCGCTGTATAGTCCTTGTGGCTTAGCGCTTCTTTTTGATTATAATAATAATAATAATCCCCAGCTAGATTATCGCTGCTTTGTAAGTCCTCGCTCAGTGAATACAGAGATAGACAGTATAATAATATAATGTGATATGTCAAGATATCTTATTAATGAAAATAAGATACCAGATATACTAAGCAAATTTCCTAAATTTGCTTGTAACGTAAGTGAACTGTAGATATGTGCCCCTCAAGGAAGGTTCCTTGATGTTGGTGAGGGGCTCTTGATTTAGGGAATTAGATCTGTGCTCCAGTTCCCCGAATTAAGCCTGAATGCCTTCCACATCCCCCCCCCCAGGCGCTGTATAATCCTCCGGGTTTAGCGCTTCCCCCTTGATTATAATCATAATAAATCTAAATCGCCTCAGTGACGCTACCTGGCATTTGTTCCACTCATCTACAACTCTATGACCGCGGGTTCAATCCCGCCGGGGGTATGGTTTATTTGCAATCGTGTCATTACGATTTCTTAAGTCATAATAATGTAGATATAAATCCAAATGTACACCTGTTAACCCTTTATGGGCCTAGTTCCTGGGCCTTTTGTGTATCCATATGCTCTTGCGCTACCGTCCACAGGATGGATATGGGGTGCACAATAAACCAGCCACTTAGGTGGCAAAAATCTAAAAATCTAAATCGCCTCAGTGACGCTACCTGGCATTTGTTCCACTCATCTACAACTCTATTGTTAAACCATTACTTTCCTATATCCTTAATCTAGAAAGAAGAATTAAAGAGAAATAATAAAAATAATTAAAGGCTGATAACCAGCGCTGTATAGCCCTTGTGGCTTAGCGCTTCTTTTTGATTATATCTAAAGGCTGATAAAATATACTACCACTAATACAAATAATAATCATTCTCGTGTAGCTAATAATTATCTAGTGGTTATAATTATATCAAAAGCTCCAGCTGCGGGTCGTCATATAACTAAGACCCGCGTCAGGAAACACTTGTCCTGTTTCCTGACAAACCTTACCTAACATAACCTTACCAGAGGTATCCTGGAGGGCAGGTGGTGCAGGAGAGTCATGGTATCCTGGTAGTCCTTGGTGGTCAGAAAGAACAACTCAAACTCTGATAAATCCTTACGCATGGTTCATCTGCTGCTCTTAGTATTCTGCAATTTATAACAAAATGTTTATCACTTAGTTCTGACTGTAATAATATAACAAAAGAAAAAAAAAACATTTAAATATAGACTTGCACACTATTGGTGGAGGCCAATTCCTTACATAGTTTTAAGAGTAGGTACGATAGGGCCCTTGAGTCTAGGAGTGAATCTGAAAAGAAGTTTAAAAGCGGGGCCAGGAGCTAGGACTCAACTCCTATAACCACATATAGGCGAGTATGCATACACTACAAATTACTCCATTACCCCTACAGGCTTAAAGTTTTCCAATTAATATAATTACTAAGTAACACGTAGCTCAGTGGTGAGAGCACTGGATTCACAATCTGAAGGTGAAGAGTTCGATTGCCAGGTCTGGCTGACGTCTGGGCCTCACTGCCTTAACACATAAATAACATAAATTATCATACATAGCAGCATAGGTGTATTTACCTAGGATAAACCCAAAAAATAAGATAAAATGACTTATTTCCACTGAAGTCCTTGTAATATCTTATTATTTAAACCTTAAAAGTTAAAAGAGGTAAGTAAATACAGTGTTAGTAGTGTTGTTGGACGTAACCTGAGGAATGTTGCTGTGGTGAAGCAACATACCTGTGACGTCCTTGATTGTATGTCCAACCAGGCTGTTGCTGAAGATTAAGACACATGTGCAACAGCTGGGTATCTTTATTGCTGTACAGCCCTTGTGGCTTAGCGCTTCTTTTTTATTATAATAATAATAATGGGTATCTTTATTGATGAAACGTTTCGCCTGCGCAGAAGGTTTCTTCAGTCAAATATAGAGGCAGCAGTAGAAATGACATAGAGATGATATAATCAGTCCATCAACCTTGGAGAAAAGTATTTGAGGTGGTCAGTCCCTCAGCCTGGAGACGATGTGTTCAGCCCATCAAGACTGATGAAGCTAAACACATCAACTCCAGCTGAGGGACTGATTACCTCAAACTCCTCCTAATCTTCCACCATTCTTCTCTGTTTTCACTGAAGAAACCACTGGTTGGCAAACGTTACAAAATAAACATTCCCAAAATGTTGCACAAGTATCTAATTCTTCAACTTGTCTTTTTTTTTAAGCCATCATACATATGACCAGTAGGAAACTATCATACCGATATAGGATAAGTTTCCTACTGGTCATACATATGACCGAGGTCTCCCACTACCTTAACTAAGTTTATTTAGGTACAGGTACGTAGGTTCACGAATGGTATACAATACCGGCAACATGAAGAATTAGACACATAAGCAACACCTGGGTATCTTTATAGACGTCTGGCCATCCAGTGGCTTCATTATGTGCCCCCCACCATACCCGTCCTGTGGGTGGTAGTCAAAAGATTACAGAGGTACATAATGGGTCCCAAAGTTAAAGAACGTAGAATTATGTACAAAAGATGAGGTAATCAATCCCTCAGATGGTGAAGAGCACCGTAAGTCTTGAAGACTCAGCACCGTAAGTCTTGAAGACTCAGCACCGTAAGTCTTGAAGACTCAGCACAGTAAGTCTTGAAGACTCAGCACCGTAAGTCTTGAAGACTCAGCACCGTAAGTCTTGAAGACTCAGCACCGTAAGTCTTGAAGACTCAGCGCCGTAAGTCTTGAAGACTCAGCACGGTAAGTCTTGAAGACTCAGCACCATAAGTCTTGAAGACTCAGCACCGTAAGTCTTGAAGACTCAGCACAGTAAGTCTTGAAGACTCAGCACCGTAAGTCTTGAAGACTCAGCACCGTAAGTCTTGAAGACTCAGCACCGTAAGTCTTGAAGACTCAGCACCGTAAGTCTTGAAGACTCAGCACTGTAGTCTTGAAGACTCAGCACCGTAGTCTTGAAGAGTCAGCACCATAGTCTTGAAGACTCAGCACCGTAGTCTTGAAGACTCAACACTGTAGTCTTGAAGACTCAACACCGTAGTCTTGAAGACTCAACACTGTAGTCTTGAAGACTCAACACCGTAATCTTGAAGACTCAACACTGTAGTCTTGAAGACTCAACACTGTAGTCTTGAAGACTCAACACTGTAGTCTTGAAGACTCAACACTGTAGTCTTGAAGACTCAACACCGTAGTCTTGAAGACTCAACACTGTAGTCTTGAAGACTCAACACTGTAGTCTTGAAGACTCAACACTGTAGTCTTGAAGACTCAGCACCGTAAGTCTTGAAGACTCAGCACCGTAAGTCTTGAAGACTCAGCACCGTAAGTCTTGAAGACTCAGCGCCGTAAGTCTTGAAGACTCAGCACGGTAAGTCTTGAAGACTCAGCACCGTAAGTCTTGAAGACTCAGCACCGTAAGTCTTGAAGACTCAGCACCGTAAGTCTTGAAGACTCAGCACCGTAAGTCTTGAAGACTCAGCACCGTAAGTCTTGAAGACTCAGCAACCGTAAGATCTTGAAGACTCAGCACCGTAAGTCTTGAAGACTCAGCACCGTAGTCTTGAAGACTCAGCACCGTAAGTCTTGAAGGCTCAGCACCGTAAGTCTTGAAGACTCAGCACCGTAAGTCTTGAAGACTCAGCACCGTAGTCTTGAAGAGTCAGCACCATAGTCTTGAAGACTCAGCACCGTAGTCTTGAAGACTCAACACTGTAGTCTTGAAGACTCAACACTGTAGTCTTGAAGACTCAACACCATAGTCTTGAAGACTCAACACCGTAGTCTAAAGACTCAACACTGTAGTCTTGAAGACTCAAACACTGTAGTCTTGAAGACTCAACACTGTAGTCTTGAAGACTCAACACTGTAGTCTTGAAGACTCAACACCGTAGTCTTGAAGACTCAACACTGTAGTCTTGAAGACTCAACACTGTAGTCTTGAAGACTCAACACCGTAGTCTTGAAGACTCAACACCGTAGTCTTGAAGACTCAACACTGTAGTCTTGAAGACTCAGCACTGTAGTCTTGAAGACTCAGCACCGTAGTCTTGAAGACTCAACACTGTAGTCTTGAAGACTCAACACCGTAGTCTTGAAGACTCAACACTGTAGTCTTGAAGACAGCACTGTAGTCTTGAAGACTCAACACTGTAGTCTTGAAGACTCAACACCGTAGTCTTGAAGACTCAACACTGTAGTCTTGAAGACTCAGCACTGTAGTCTGAAGACTCAACACTGTAGTCTTGAAGACTCAGCACTGTAGTCTTGAAGACTCAACACTGTAGTCTTGAAGACTCAACACTGTAGTCTTGAAGACTCAACACCGTAGTCTTGAAGACTCAACACTGTAGTCTTGAAGACTCAACACCGTAGTCTTGAAGACTCAACACTGTAGTCTTGAAGACTCAGCACTGTAGTCTTGAAGACTCAGCACTGTAGTCTTGAATACTCAACACTGTAGTCTTGAAGACTCAGCATGTATGCGCGGAGCCCCAGACCGACATAATGAGATTAGTCACGAGGGAGCATTCACCAAATTCAACTTCAATAACAAAAACATAAAGTGGGACCAAGTAAACCAAGTCCTAACCGATATAAGCTGGGAAGATATACTAAGCAACACAGACCCCAACTTATGCCTAGAACAGATTAACTCGGTAGCACTCGATGTATGCACAAGGCTTATTCCTCTAAGAAAAAGGAGGAGTAGATGTAAAACAGAAAGAGACAGGCGCTCCCTTTACAGGCGACGGAAAAGAATAACAGAGCGGCTAAAAGAGGTCAATATATCTGAAATGCGTAGGGAGACACTGGTCAGAGAAATAGCAAGCACGAACTTAAGCTAAAAGAATCCTTTAGGAGTCAGGAATCGCGGAAAACTAAAAGCCATAAATGAAATCGAAAGAAACCCAAAGTATTTCTTCTCCTATGCCAAATCAAAATCGAGAACAACGTCCAGTATTGGGCCCCTACTTAAACAAGATGGGTCCTACACAGATGACAACAAGGAAATGAGTGAGCTACTCAAGTCCCAATATGACTCAGTTTTTAGCAAGCCGCTAACCAGACTGAGAGTCGAAGATCAAAATGAATTTTTTATGAGAGAGCCACAAAATTTGATTAACACAAGCCTATCCGATGTTATCCTGACGCCAAATGACTTCGAACAGGCGATAAATGACATGCCCATGCACTCTGCCCCAGGGCCAGACTCATGGAACTCTGTGTTCATCAAGAACTGCAAGAAGCCCCTATCACGAGCCTTTTCCATCCTATGGAGAGGGAGCATGGACACGGGGGTCGTCCCACAGTTACTAAAAACAACAGACATAGCCCCCACTCCACAAAGGGGGCAGTAAAGCAACAGCAAAGAACTACAGACCAATAGCACTAACATCCCATATCATAAAAATCTTTGAAAGGGTCCTAAGAAGCAAGATCACCACGCATCTAGAAACCCATCAGTTACACAACCCAGGGCAACATGGGTTTAGAACAGGTCGCTCCTGTCTGTCTCAACTATTGGACCACTACGACAAGGTCCTAAATGCACTAGAAGACAAAAAGAATGCAGATGTAATATATACAGACTTTGCAAAAGCCTTCGACAAGTGTGACCATGGCGTAATAGCGCACAAAATGCGTGCTAAAGGAATAACAGGAAAAGTCGGTCGATGGATCTATAATTTTCCTCACTAACAGAACACAGAGAGTAGTCGTCAACAGAGTAAAGTCCGAGGCAGCTACGGTGAAAAGCTCTGTTCCACAAGGGACAGTACTCGCTCCCATCTTGTTCCTCATCCTTATATCCGACATAGACAAGGATGTCCAGCCACAGCACCGTGTCTTCCTTTGCAGATGACACCCGATCTGCATGACAGTGTCTTCCATTGCAGACACTGCAAGCTCCAGGCAGACATCAACCAATCTTTCAGTGGGCTGCAGAAAACATATGAAGTTCAACGATGAGAAATTTCAATTACTCAGATATGGTAAACATGAGGAAATTAAATCTTCATCAGAGTACAAAACAAATTCTGGCCACAAAATAGAGCGAAACACCAACGTCAAAGACCTGGGAGTGATCATGTCGGAGGATCTCACCTTCAAGGACCATAAAAATTGTATCAATCGCATCTGCTAGAAAAATGACAGGATGGATAATGAGAACCTTCAAAACTAGGGAGGCCAAGCCCATGATGACACTCTTCAGGTCACTTGTTCTATCTAGGGTGGAATATTGCTGCACACTAACAGCACCTTTCAAGGCAGGTGAAATTGCCGACCTAGAAAATGTACAGAGAACTTTCACGGCGCGCATAAGGGAGATAAAACACCTCAATTATTGGGAGCGCTTGAGGTTCCTAAACCTGTATTCCCTGGAACGCAGGAGGGAGAGATACATGATTATATACACCGGGAAAATCCTAGAGGACTAGTACCGAACTTGCACACGAAAATCACCCACTACGAAAGCAAAAGACTTGGCAGACGATGCACCATCCCCCCAATGAAAAGCAGGGTGTCACTAGCACGTTAAGAACCAACAATAAGTGTCAGGGGCCCGAGACTGTTCAACTGCCTCCCAGCACACATAAGGGGGATACCAACAGACCCCTGGCAGCTTCAAGCGGGCACTGGACAACACCTAAAGTCAGTTCCGGATCACCCGGGGCTGTGGCTCGTATGTTGGTTTGCGTGCAGCCAGCAGCAACAGCCGGGTTTTGATCAGCTCTGATCCACCAGGAGGCCTGGTCTCAGACCGGGCCGCGGGGGCGTTGACCCCCGGAACTCTCTCCAGGTAAACTCCAGGTAAACTGTAGTCTTGAAGACTCAACACCGTAGTCTTGAAGACTCAACACTGTAGCCCTTGAAGACTCAGCATGTAGTCCTTGAAGACTAAAACCACTGTAGTTCTTGAAGACTCAACACTGTAGTCTTGGGAAGACTCAACACCGTAGTCTTGAAGATCCAACACTGTAGTTTTTGAAGACTCAGCACTGTATCTTAAAGACTCAACACCGTAGTCTTGAAGACTCAACACTGTAGTCTTGAAGACTCAGCACTGTAGTCTTGAAGACTCAACACTGTAGTCTTGAAGACTCAACACTGTAGTCTTGAAGACTCAACACCGTAGTCTTGAAGACTCAACACCGTAGTCTTGAAGACTCAGCACTGTAGTCTTGAAGACTCAGCACTGTAGTCTTGAAGACTCAGCACTGTAGTCTTGAAGACTCAAAAACCGATCTTGAAGCCCTCAGCACTGTAGTCTTGAAGACTCAGCACTGTAGTCTTGAAGACTCAGCACCCCGTAGTCTTGAAGACTCAACACTGTAGTTTTGAAACTCAGCACTGTATCTTGAAGACTCAACACTGTAGTCTTGAAGACTCAACACTGTAGTCTTGAAGACTCAACACTGTAGTCTTGAAGACTCAACACCGTAGTCTTGAAGACTCAGCACTGTAGTCTTGAAGACTCAACACTGTAGCCCTTGAAGACTCAGCACCGTAGTTTGAAGACCAACATTGTAGTCTTGAAGACTCAAACACAGTAGTCTTGAAGACTCAACAACCGTAGTCTTGAAGACTCGCACCGTAGCTTGAAACTCAACACTGTAGTCTTGAAGACTCAACACCGGTCTTGAAACTCAGCACTGTAGTCTTGAAGACTCAGCACCGTAGTTTTTGAAGACTCAACACTGTAGTCTTGAAGACTCACACCGTAGTTTTGAAGACTCAACATTGTAGTCTTAAAGACTCAAACACCGTAGCCCTGAAGACTCAGCAACCGTAGTCTTGAAGACTCAGCACCGTAGTCTTGAAGACTCAACACTGCAGTTTTGAAGACTCAACACGATCTTGAAGACTCAACACCGTAGTCTTGAAGACCAACACCGAAAGTTTTGGGAAGACTCAGCACCGTAGTCTTGAAGACTCAACACCGTAGTCTTGAAGACTCAACACCGTAGTCTTGAAGACTCAACACCATAGTCTTGAAGACTCAGCACCGTAGTCTTGAAGACTCAGCACCGTAGTCTTGAAGACTCAACACTGTAGTCTTGAAGACTCAACACCGTAGTCTTGAAGACTCAACACTGTAGTCTTGAAGACTCAACACTGCAGTCTTGAAGACTCAGCACCGTAGTCTTGAAGACTCAGCACCGTAGTCTTGAAGACTCAACACTGTAGTCTTGAAGACTCAACACTGTAGTCTTGAAGACTCAACACTGCAGTCTTGAAGACTACACACCGGGTAGTCTTGAAGACCAGCACCTTTAGTCTTGAAAAACTCAACACTGTAGTTTTGAAGACTCAACACCGTAGTCTTGAAGCCCTCAACACTGTATCTTGAAGACTCAACACTGTAGTCTTGAAGACCAACACTGTAGTCTTGAAAGACTCAAAAACTGTAGTCTTGAAGACCCCAACACTGTAGTCTTGAGACTCAACACTGCAGTCTTGAAGACTCAGCACCGTAGTCTTGAAGACTCAACACTGTGTGGCTCGTACGTTGGTTTGCGTGCAGCCAGCAGCAACAGCCTGGTTGATCAGGCGCTGATCCACCAGGAGGCCTGGTCACAGACCGGGCCGCGGGGGCGTTGACCCCCGAAACTCTCTCCAGGTAAACTCTCCAGGTAAACTGTAGTCTTGAAGACTCAACACTGTAGTCTTGAAGACTCAGCACTGTAGTCTTGAAGACTCAACACTGTAGTCTTGAAGACTCAACACTGTAGTCTTGAAGACTCAACACTGCAGTCTTGAAGACTCAGCACCGTAGTCTTGAAGACTCAACACTGCAGTCTTGAAGACTCAACACCGTAGTCTTGAAGACTCAGCACCATAGTCTTGAAGACTCAGCACCGTAGTCTTGAAGACTACGGTGCTGAGGGATTTATTACCTCATCTTTTGCAAATAATTCTCCAGTCTTCACATTACATCCGTGTACTGATAAAGCCACTAATGGAGGGCGAAACGTCTACAAATAACACCACCCAGATGTTGCACATGCGTCTAAAGTCTTCACAAGTACACACAATACAGTTACACGAATTATGATATATAACGAGTGGAACAGACTGGCTGTACATATCAGTCTGTCATAACATGAGCCAGTTGAAGAAGACATCCAAAATGTTCCTCGTGAATAACGCTACATAAAGGGAGGAGAATGATTTCTTGCATGACAATAATTTACCTCTCCCCAGGTATATCTTATTTTACTGTGATTGCTTTTTCATAATTAAAATACTTACCTATTTTTAACTTTTAAATATAAATAATAATTACCACAAGGATCTCAATGGAAATAAGTCACTGTCTAACTTTTTGGTTATCTTGAGGTTGCTATATATGTGCTGCTATGTATGATATTGTATGTATCTGTGTATACATGAATAAACTTACTTGTATGTTTAACAGTTCTCAAACAGGGGAAATTATTTACAAACTGAGAGATAATGTTTATAAATAACATGTGTGTAAATTACCAAGGATAACCACAAAATAAAGCCAGAAACAGTGACTTATGCGATAACATCATTTGATGTCAGTTGTACTAACTTCTACATTCTTTCAGGAAATATTATTATTTTTTGGGTCACATAGCTTTGCCTTAATACTATAATCTGTAAGGACTTAATGTTAAGAATTAATCTAAGTCTTCTCGAAATACCTAGCCATGCTAGGTGTCCTAGTGGCCCCTCTGTAATTAGTATCTTATAACATGTAAACCCCACAATACCTAAAACCTGTAAACCCCACATTGTAACCCTTATAGAGAATAAACTTGAATTGAAATGAATTGAAATAGTGTGAGTGATGGTGAAAGTGTTTCTTTTTCTGGTCACACAGCCTCGGTGGGAGACGGACAGTGTTGTAAAAAATCTGTTGGAACACAGATACTGATGCAATATATTAAAATTTGCAAGAAGCTGGATCTGTCCTCCCCTTCCTTGGATCAAAGCTGACTGCCTCCCATTTTCCCCTCTTCTGTATAAACCCTACGGGTTTACCACTCCCCGCTGCTGAACGTGGCCTTATTATGGGTTTCTAAATTCGGCTCACAACTGCTAGGACCCGGGCTGAATCCTGGGCGGGGAGAGATGCATGGGCGAGTCTTCCAACACATCTTGCCCTTCCTCTCTCTCACCTTGCAGTAAAAAAGTCAACCAGGAGTCACTAGACTGTTGTTGGTGGCATCCTGCGACGGGACCCTAAGGGAAAATAAGCCACTCAGTGCTTGGCTTGGGTTATCCTGGTCTTACTAACCCTTAAGGAAGTTACTAACTGCTTCTTCAGACACACAGCAGAGTAACGAGAGTAAGATAACACATCATGAACCACTAACACAGCTTTTATCTGCTCTGCAGTTGCCACTTGTCACTATTTTACCACAGATCAAACCAGGTGTCAGCTCAAGCCAGGTGTCAGCTCAAGCCAGGTGTCATATCAAGCCAGGTGTAACATCAAGCCAGGTGTCAGATCAAGTCAGGTGTCACATCAAGCCAGGTGTCAGATCAAGCCAGGTGTCACATCAAGCAGGTGTCACATCAAGCCAGGTTCAGATCAAGCCAGGTGTAACATCAAACCAGGTGTCAGATCAAGCCAGGTGTCACATCAAGCCAGGTGTCAGATCAAGCCAGGTGTCAGATCAAGCCAGGTGTCACATCAAGCCAGGTGTCACATCAAGCCAGGTGTCAGATCAAGCCAGGTGTCACATCAAGCCAGGTGTCAGATCAAGCCAGGTGTCACATCAAGCCAGGTGTCAGATCAAGCCAGGTGTCACATCAAGCCAGGTGTCAGATCAAGCCAGGTGTCACATCAAGCCAGGGTCAATCAAGGCCAGGTGTCACATCAAGCCAGGTGTCAGATCAAGCCAGGTGTCAGATCAAGCCAGGTGTAACATCAAGCCAGGTGTCAGAGAATATTTTTTTCCAATAAATCTCAAGATCAAAAAAGTCACAATACCGAGGCTACGGCCCCAAATAATGTACACGCTAATAACCTACTTCAAAATACCTTTCTCGTAAAAAATAATTGAAATAAACATTACAGTAATATTATCATTATTATTATTATTATTATTATTATTATTATTATTATTATTCAGTTTACCTGGAGTTTACCTGGAGAGAGTTTCGGGGGTCAACGCCCCCGCGGCCCGGTCTGTGACCAGGCCTCCTGGTGGATCAGCGCCTGATCAACCAGGCTGTTGCTGCTGGCTGCACGCAAACCAACATACGAGCCACAGCCCGGCTGATCCGGAACTGACTTTAGGTGCTTGTCCAGTGCCAGCTTGAAGACTGCCAGGGGTCTGTTGGTAATCCCCCTTATGTGTGCTGGGAGGCAGTTGAACAGTCTCGGGCCCCTGACACTTATTGTATGGTCTCTTAACGTGCTAGTGACACCCCTGCTTTTCATTGGGGGGATGGTGCATCGTCTGCCAAGTCTTTTGCTTTCGTAGTGAGTGATTTTCGTGTGCAAGTTCGGTACTAGTCCCTCTAGGATTTTCCAGGTGTATATAATCATGTATCTCTCCCTCCTGCGTTCCAGGGAATACAAGTTTAGAAACCTCAAGCGCTCCCAGTAATTGAGGTGTTTTATCTCCGTTATGCGCGCCGTGAAAGATCTCTGTACATTTTCTAGGTCAGCAATTTCACCTGCCTTGAAAGGTGCTGTTAGAGTGCAGCAATATTCCAGCCTAGATAGAACAAGTGACCTGAAGAGTGTCATCATGGCTTGGCCTCCCTAGTTTTGAAGGTTCTCATTATCCATCCTGTTATTTTTCTAGCAGATGCGATTGATACAATGTTATGGTCCTTGAAGGTGAGATCCTCCGACATAATCACTCCCCGGAGGGTTATATAAGTAGGCAATAATACTGAAGCACTGCTAAATGACCTATAAGAAATTTGCGTTACTTTAGGACTGTGAGGAGAACTACAATGTTTAAGACATCCACGAAGCTTATTGTTCGTTGTTTTTTGATGCTGGGGATATGGAGGGGTAGTGCCATGATGCCGGTTAAGGGTAGTGCCTTGATGCCGGTCAAGGGATCTTGATCTTGTGGGTGGTAGTCAGTTTATACCCCATCGTGAGGGTAGTAGTAACCCCCAGAGGAACCCCTGTGGGTAGTAGTCGCCCATTTTCACCTGTGGGTAGTAGTCACCCCATACCCACCTGTGGGTAGTAGTCACCCTATACCCAACTGTGGGTAGTTGTCACCCCATACCCACCTGTGGGTAGTAGTCACCCAATACCCAACCTGTGGGTAGCAGTCATCACATACCCACCTGTGGGTAGTGGTCACCCCATACCCACTTTTGTGTAGTAGTCACCACATACCCACCTGTGTGTAGTATTCACCACATACCCACCTGTGTGTAGTAGTCACCACATACCCACCTGTGTGTAGTAGTCACCACATACCCACCTGTGTGTAGTAGTCACCACATACCCACCTGTGTGTAGTAGTCACCACATACCCACCTGTGGGTAGTGGTCACCCCATACCCACCTGTGTGTAGTAGTCACCACATACCCACCTGTGTGTAGTAGTCACCACATACCCACCTGTGTGTAGTAGTCACCACATACCCACCTGTGTGTAGTAGTCACCACATACCCACCTATATGTAGTAGTCACCACATACCCACCTGTGTGTAGCAGTCACCACATACCCACCTATATGTAGTAGTCACCACATACCCAACCTGTGTGTAGCAGTCACCACATACCCACCTATATATAGTACCACATACCCAACGTGATGTAGTAGTCACCACATACCCAACTGTGTGTAGTAGTCACCACATACCCACCTGTGTGTAGTAGTCACCACATACCCACCTGTGTGTAGCAGTCACCACATACCCACCTATATGTAGTAGTCACCACATACCCACCTGTGTGTAGCAGTCACCACATACCCACCTATATGTAGTAGTCACCACATACCCAACTGTATGTAGTAGTCACCACATACCCACCTGTGTGTAGTAGTCACCACATACCCACCTGTGTGTAGCAGTCACCACATACCCACCTATATGTAGTAGTCACCACATACCCACCTGTGTGTAGCAGTCACCACATACCCACCTATATGTAGTAGTCACCACATACCCAACTGTATGTAGTAGTCACCACATACCCACTGCGTGTAGTAGTCACCACATACCCACCTGCGTGTAGTAGTCACCACATACCCACCTGTGTGTAGCAGTCACCACATACCCACCTGTGTGTAGCAGTCACCACATACCCACCTATATGTAGTAGTCACCACATACCCACCTGTGTGTAGCAGTCACCACATACCCACCTATATGTAGTAGTCACCACATACCCAACTGTATGTAGTAGTCACCACATACCCACCTGCGTGTAGTAGTCACCACATACCCACCTGTGTGTAGCAGTCACACATACCCACCTATGTAGTAGTCACCACATACCCACCTTGTGTAGTCAGTCACCACATACCCACCTGATATGTAGTAGTCACCACATACCCACTGTATGTAGTAGTCACCACATACCCACCTGCGTGTAGCAGTCACCACATACCCACCTGCGTGTAGTAGTCACCACATACCCACCTGCGTGTAGTAGTCACCACATACCCACCTGCGTGTAGTAGTCACCACATACCCACCTGCGTGTAGTAGTCACCACATACCCACCTATATGTAGTAGTCACCACATACCCAACTGTATGTAGTAGTCACCACATACCCACCTGTGTGTAGTAGTCACCACATACCCACCTGTGTGTAGCAGTCACCACATACCCACCTATATGTAGTAGTCACCACATACCCACCTGTGTGTAGCAGTCACCACATACCCACCTATATGTAGTAGTCACCACATACCCAACTGTATGTAGTAGTCACCACATACCCACCTGCGTGTAGTAGTCACCACATACCCACCTGCGTGTAGTAGTCACCACATACCCACCTGTGTGTAGCAGTCACCACATACCCACCTGTGTGTAGCAGTCACCACATACCCACCTATATGTAGTAGTCACCACATACCCACCTGTGTGTAGCAGTCACCACATACCCACCTATATGTAGTAGTCACCACATACCCAACTGTATGTAGTAGTCACCACATACCCACCTGCGTGTAGTAGTCACCACATACCCACCTGTGTGTAGTAGTCACCACATACCCAACTGTGTGTAGCAGTCACCACATACCCACCTGTGTGTAGCAGTCACCACATACCATCCTATAGTAAAGATCTCCTACATATCCCACCTGTGTGTATCATTCCCACATACCCACCTATATGTAGTATCACCACATACCCAACTGTATGTAGTAGTCACCACATACCCACTATGTGTGAGGTCTCCCATACCACTGTGTAGTAGCACACATCCCAACTGTGTAGTAGGCACGCCATACCCACCTGCGTGAAGTAGTCACCAGTGGGTAAGTGGTACAGAAATCTCTTTAAAAAATCCTCTAGTCAGTGTATTTTTTTTTATGCAAATTGGGTAGACATAGTACATGAAAACTGGATGTAACAATCACTGTGGTGAAGGGTTTCCATACACTGTGTAGTGAACGCCTGAATAATGACAGGGCCGCGGTGGGCGCAGACCCCGGAACCTGTCGGTGGTAGAGAATTCATATATATTAATATATATATATAATATATATATATAATAGTATGGATATATAATGATAATATATATATATAATATAGTTATTTGTGAGAGATTGGTTGAGAAACACTTGCAAGTATGGCTAGTAGGCCTGCTGTATTCTATTTTCTTATATTCTTGTATAAGCAGGCTGGCTATAAGATGATAGAAGTATGTGTACAATAGGTCCAGAGAATGGGTCTCAACATTGTGTGCTAGTCAGCAGCTACAGTAATTATGTTTCACAAGGATAGTATATTCATTTATAGTAGCAGCAACAACTTGGTTACTCAATTAATGCAAGCCAGCGATTTCTTAACCACTGATAATCATCGACATTAGTACCCCAGAGGTGGTCTTATCAGGGAGTCAATACTTTACCAAGAACAACGTCCGGTGACTGATTACCTGAGACTACCTCCATCGTCACCGTATTCGACTGAGGAAGCCAGCTGCACAGGCAATAAGGACACCCAAGTATTACACACGTGTCGTCCACATGTATGAGCCAGTAGACCTGATGCAGTGCTTCTCCATTACTGTGTTCGTATTAGTGGAGTGTCTTAAGTCAAATTGAGATATTGTCTCACTAACGTATGACTACAAAATATATATATATGCCAAAAATTCAGGTCTCATGATATAGTCTGCCCGAAATACCTAGGCATGCTAGTGACTTTTTCTGTACTTTATATTTTGTAATATGTTCACCTCACACTGGAAACTTTGCAAATAAATAAAATTTTGAATGTAACAAACACTACAGAAATCGGAAATAGTTGTAAAAAGTTCGCAGGTTCAGTAGAGATGTTTGATCAGGATGACTTGCAATAATAACCGTGTCCAGTCACCATAATTAATTCTAGTCACACCTTCACATCATCAACAGTTACTCTTGGCCCTTTCTACGTTGATAATCAAAGTCCCATGACCGAAATGTCTTAAAATATGTCCTAGCATTTGCTCCTCAATTATTTTTTTTAATCACTTGTGGGTATATACCCATTACCAGTTTATATCTCACAGCGAGTGTGCTTTTATCGGTCACAATTAAGTCATACGAGCGATCACTACGTCATGCTATGTACTGATGCAATCATCCACTATGGTTCCCAGTAGCCATGACGACACCACAAGCAGGTGACAGCCTTATCAAAGAAAAAGTACACAGAAGTGCCTGTCACGTCCAATGAAAGTAAAAAAAGATAAGTAATCTTAACTGTGGCCAACTTACGTAACAATATGTCCCCCCTGGTGTTAGTCATGTTACTTAACATGTTACTTAACATGTTACTTAACATGTTACTTAACATGTGTAAGCTACTGGGTCTTCACCTCACTACGCTCCATATTACACGAAGATAATAATCATGTTTCATAAAAAGTAGTTTGGAAAACAATATGAATATTTCTTTTAGTTTATATAAATTGGATTCATGTATAATTAATAAAATTTGGGAAGAATTTAAGATACATTAGATAATTTTTCTTTGGGTAGAATATAAGATGTGTCTGACAGATCACTGACTACTTACCTACATTATCATAAATAGTCAGGTGTTGTTGTGGGTGGCAGTGAGGTGTAGTCTCGTCCTTATATGCCTTCCTATTTACCTTTTATTTTTATAATACCTTGATAATGTGAGAAGTCATGAAATCTCACGAAAGCCTGGTCTCAGACCGAGCCACGGAGGCGCTGACCCCCGAAACCCTCTCTCAGGTAAACACACACACACACACACACACACACACAACACACACACACACACACACACATACACATATATATAAATATATATATATATATATATATATTATATATATATATATATATATATATATATATAATATATATATATATATATATATATATATATATATATATATATATATAATATATATATATATATATATATATATATATATATATATATACACACATACATACATACAAATACTTTTTTTCGTCAGTTAACGGCTATTTTTTTCAACGAAAACACGATGGTTTGCGAAATTTCGCATATATCCTGAATTTTTTTTTCCACAGCATCTTACAATTGCTTAACTTCTCAGATTGAAATCCTGACTTAACCTGCTTATGATGACTCGCGAAATTGTAATAACACGATTGCAGACTCACTTGCCGTGGGTTCAAATCCCCACCCGTTCCCTGTATTTTTTAAGCCCTTACATTGAACTCTGCAACACAACCGTCCATACAAGCGTTCTCCCGGTTAATAACCACGCCCAGTGGTGCTTAACCTGACCAAGCGACTACCACGCCGATAGCATCTGTTATATATGATACAAGCGTTTACATTTTTCTCTCGCAGGCAGTGTCCATTGAGAGGAATAGCTGGTAACTGGCAGCACCTTGCTCATACCCCCGGCAGTCTTGGCTGGCAACTGGCAGCACCTTGCTCATACCCCCGGCAGTCTTGGCTGGCAACTGGCAGCACCTTGCTCATACCCCCGGCAGTCTTGGCTGGCAACTGGCAGCACCTTGCTCATACCCCCGGCAGTCTTGGCTGGCAACTGGCAGCACCTTGCTCATACCCCCGGCAGTCTTGGCTGGCAACTGGCAGCACCTTGCTCATACCCCCGGCAGTCTTGGCTGGCAACTGGCAGCACCTTGCTCATACCCCCAGCAGTCTTGGCTGGCAACTGGCAGCACCTTGCTCATACCCCCGGCAGTCTTGGCTGGCAACTGGCAGGACCTTGCTCATACCCCCGGCAGTCTTGGCTGGCTCATCACCACAGCTGCGTCACTCATTCTTACAGTTTTCACATTTAACGTGAGTTTCTCTTCTGTTATATTAGTCTTAATCCTGCAACAGCAAAGCATCGATGTATTCAATATTCTGTTGCGGCAGAACGATAGTTCAGGTTTAGGGAAGGATCGTGTGGGAAGAGAGAGGAGTGGAATGTGTTTACTGATGGCCAGCCATCGGTTTGACGCGAGTGAGAGCATCCTAGTACATGTAGGGTACAAAACACTCTCTCTTCCAGTAAGTTCACTATTACTTAACATTGTTCATTTCCATCATTTGGGGAGCTTTTATTTTTTGTGTGTGGGGGTATTAGTTTTATATGGTGGCGGCCTCAGCTTACGACTGATGAATCAGGGTTTGATCCCGGACGATCCTTATTGCTTGTTATCCCGTGGCTTGGTTAGCAACGCTCTCGCCTATTGTTATGGTATTATGTCTTAGTGTACTCGTGACGCTGCTGCTTTTCGTTCAGATGATATTGCACCGCTTGCCGAGTCTGTTGCTTTCGTAGGGAGTAATTCTCGTTTGCAAATTTGGGACTAAACCCTCTAGGATTTTCTAAGTGCATTTTATCATGTATCTTTCTCGCTTGCATTCCAGACAATACAAATCAAGGGATTTCAACCGTTCCCAGTAATTTAGGTGCTTTATCGTACTTATACTTGCCGTGAAATTTCTATGTACATTCTCCAGGTCTGCAGTTTCGCTTGCTACGAAAGGGGCTGTTAGTGTACAGCAGTATTCCAGCTTAGAGAGAACAAGCGAATTGAAGAGAATCATCATGGGTTTGGCATCCCTGGTTTTGAAGGTTCTCATTATCCATCCTATCTTTTCCTAGTAGATGAGGTAGATACATTGTTGTGATCTTTGAAAGTGAGATCCTCTGACATTATCACTCCCAGGTCCTTCACATTAGTTTTTCGCTCTTTTGTGTGTTGCAATTTGTTTTATAGCCTGTTACAGTTTTAATTTCCTCGAGTTTTCCATATCGGAGTAATTGAAATTTCTCTTCATTAAACTTTATATTGTTTTCTGCGGCCCATTTAAGGATTTGTTTGATGTTTACTTGGACACATGCAGTGTCTTCTATGGATGACATTGTCATGCAAATTAGGGTGTCATCCGCAAAGCAAGACACAGTGTTGTGGCTTACATCTCTATGTCAGATATAAGGACGAGGAAGAACCAGATGAGAGTATTGTGCCTTGTGGTAGTGCTTTTTACTGCAGCTGCCTCAGACTTTACTCTGTTTACTATTACTCTTTGTGTTCTGTTAGTACGTTATAGATTCATCTACCAACTTTTCCCGTTATTTTTTGTAATATTTTAAACTTAAGATTTAATCTAAGTCTGCCTGAAATGCCTAGCCATGCTAGGTGTTCTAGTGGTACACTCTGTAATGATTATTTTACTACATGTAAACCACACAATAACCAAATTCTGTAAACTCAGCATTGTAATCCTTATAGAGAATAAACTTTGAATTGAATTCCTTTATCGCATTTTGTGCGCTATTACACCATGGTCACACTTGTCGAAGGCTTTCACAAAGTCTGTGTATACTACATCTGCATTTTGTTTGTCCTGAGCATCCAGGACCTTGTCATAGTGGTCCAGTAGTAGGGACAGGCAGGAACTACCTGCTCTAAACCCATGTTGCTCTGGGTTGTGTAACTGATGGATATTTAAGTGGGTGGTGATCTTGCTTCTTAAAACCCTTCCAAAGATTTTTATGATGTGAGACGTTAGTTTACCTGGAGTTTACCTGGAGAGAGTTAAACTCCAGGTAAACTAACGTCTCACATCATAAAAATCTTTGGAAGGGTTTTAAGAAGCAAGATCACCACCCACTTAAATATCCATCCATTAGTGCTGTCTGTAATACTTTGCAATTGCTTTACTGTCACTTTTGTGGAGTGGGGCTATGTATGTTGTTTTTTAGTGAGTGTAGGATGACCACTGTGTCCATGCTCCCTCTGAAATTTTTTTTTTATAATTTTCACTATTTTTTTTTATAATTTTCCTAAATATGAATAATATAATAATTGCACATTAAAATGTGATGCTGATTTGAGTCTTCAAGAAATTTTGTGCAAAGGAGGGTGTGCAGCAGCCACAGAGTGATGCAGGGGAGAGGACGCCATAGTGAATTTATGTGTGAGCACTGGTCTCTTAGTGGTATACCCCTCAGGGAAGGTTCCTTGATGTTGGTGAGGGGCTCTTGATTTCGGGAATTGGATCTGTGCTCCAGTTCCCCGAATTAAGCCTGAATGCCTTCCACATTGCCCCCCCCAGGAGCTGTATAATCCTACGGGTTTAGCGCTTCCCCTTGATTATAATAATAATAATAATAATAATAATAATGTTAGTGGTATAAAAATCGGCATCATCGAGGCCATAATGGGGTGTTTTGGCCCGAATTTGTAATAGGAACCCATGTTAATGTCCCCTGCTGAAGAATTGGGACAGGAAATTTGCGGGACCTCCAGAATTATATGTGGATAGTCACAAATAAGTAGACCATTGTCCTTTCATTTGGATTTCTCGCTGGCCAGTGTAGGTTTCTATTGTCAATAGTGTGTCACTGAATACTTTTATTGTGTAGTATAGGTAGATAATCCCAGCTATGTTATACATAGGCTCCCTGACTAACTGTATAGGCTCCGTGGCTAGCTGTGACGTCATGAGCCCTTCACATGTGAGCCGCTAGCTAGAGGCATCTCCTTCAGATCCCGGCTAGGCATAGACTCAACAAATAACAAAAAAAGGCACAATACCGTGACTGGAACGATACACAAATAACCCGCACATAAAAGAGAGAAGCTTTGTAAATGGTCCAAATCGGACCGAAACGTCGTCGTAAGCTTCTCTCTTTTATGTGCGGGTTATTTGTGTATAGACTCAACAAGGCAGGGCATGGGCCACCCCTCAAGACTCATAAGTTACCAAACCGTCCAAGTGTATATTCCTTTTCATCCGACATCTTAAGCACCCACCCGACACTATATGTTAGGTACATGTTGTGGTGTGATCCATCTACAGTAATTAAATGGTAAGTGGTAATACTATTGTAACACTATTGTATTAGCTGGATCGCTAGTGCACTCAGCTCACACACTGAGGTCCGGGGTTCGAATCTCCTCCAGTAAGGCTGGAAAACATTAGGGACGTGTTTCCACAAGACACCTGCTGTCCCTGTCCCTGTTCACCCATCAGTTTAAAATGGGTACCTGGGTGTTAGTGGATTGGTGTGGGTCGCATCCTGGGATAAAACTGACCTAATTTGCCCGAAATGCTCTGCCTAACAAGTGGCTTTCTATATAGTAGTATGTCATTGTTGTCAGCTAGACCTGTATACCTTGTACATTTACTTGTAGTAAATATCATTATTATTATTATTATTATTATTATTATTATTATTATTATATGTATTATACATTAATTATATTGTGACCCAACAAGTCAACTAATATACAGTCTACACTATTTTATAATTTATCATTATTGATATTAATGTTTAATATTGTAATTATTAATTTAATGTCAGGTCAAGCTTTTGTGAGAGTGGTGAAGGAGTGAACATCGAGGGAGTGACAGTCCTGTGACCTACTGTGATTAAGTCTCACTTACCTCACTCAAATTATGTGAAAGAAATATTTCAGGAATGTACCTGTGAACCTTATCCCCATAATTTCCCACACTTCCTCTCCTTAGAATGCTCAAGGCACGTGAAAGGGGCTTCTTGTAGTTCTTGAAGAACATGGAGTTCCAATTTCCCGGTTGAATCCCTGGCATGGGTGGAAACGTTGGGTATATTTTCTTACACCTGCTGTCTCTGCTTACCTAGCAGTAAGTAGGTATCTGAGTGTTAGTCGACTGCTGTCGATCGCATTTTGGAGGGACAAGATTGAAGGATCACAATGGAAATAAGACAGTCCTTAGTGACGCACTGACTTTATTGGTGGCTAACTCTCTGGGTTAAAAATCCTAACAAAGCTTATCTCATCGCATAACAGTAACATAAGCCAGTCTAATGATAGGGCTTTACTGGGTTATCCTGAGTTACTAACACTTCGGGTTAATAGTCACACCATCATGACTCACACAAAATTTAAAGTCACATTGTTGTTATAATTAGGGGATAGCTGGTTTGGGACCGAGTCTCGGGGGGCGTTGACCCCTGGTAAACATTTCTCAGGTATGTTAGGTAAAAGGACACAAGTGCAACTAATGTGATAATTTATTGTGACAACGTTTCGCTCTCCAGGAGCTTTCTTAAAACTGTTACTTGTCGGTAATTCTAGCAACATTATTACAATCTATCAGGTGTCCTTTAGGTAAGTGGTAGATATAAACTCACAAAGGTCATAAAATAAGCCAACAATTAACAATGACATTATATTTCGCAAAAATACGAACGTCATTATTTCTAATCACATTCATTCTCTGAACATGTCAGCGAATGAAAACGCAATTCACACACATTTGAACCACATTAATCTAACAAATCTGCAATTATGGTACCAATGGTCACTTTAAATGAAGCACCTTTGATACAAGGGTTGGTGATGTAATTCCTTGCAAAAACCACAGGCGATCATACGTGAGACGAATATGTCGAAATTTATTAGCAAGAATAACTGAACACGAGGTCAACAGGGTGTTCAAAGTGTCGTGGAACAAGATCATTAACTGGGTAGCTACTGCTGCTCCATTCCTTTGATGGTAAGATAAGATTTCGTTCGGATTTTTAACCCCGGAGGGTTAGCTACCCATGATAACCCAAGAAAGTCAGTGCGTCATCGAGGACTGTCTAACTTATTTCCATTGTGGTTCTCAATCTTGTCCCCAGGATGCGACCCACACCAGTCCACTAACACCGAGGTACCTATTTGCTGCTAGGTGAAGAGGACAACAGGTGTAAGGAAACGCGACATGTAGTAGAAACTTGTATGATAGTTTCCGGTTTACCGCTTAATTTTATTATTATTATTATTATTAAGGAGGAGGATGGTAAGATATAAGGAATCTTGTGGTGGGTGTTGTTGAAAGTCGTCTCAGAAGGAGTTGAATCTACACAACACCTGCACAGGTCCACCTAAAGTCTTAGCATCACCATCTAAAGTCTTAATAGCAGACATAGCTGCACTAATTCCTATATACTAGTGGTATCTAATAATTGAATTTAGTGCAGATATAACAAGCATAATCACTAAATATAAGCTGCTTAAAGAAGTAATCCATATACATTCAAGGAGAGGCAAGATGAGTGGGGATGCGAGAGACATAATGTTCTTCAGACTGTCTCCCAGTGACTACGATCAGAGTACGAGGCTCATCGCAGACCACTTCATGAGGAGGAACCCACTAGTAAGATGCAATAATACCTTGAGTTGTGGCTGGAGAACAGGTTTGGTGATACTGGCAGTAGATAGTCAAAGAATAAAAAAGGACTTTTCTGGCTTCTTAGGTACTGTCAGCTATGCTCGTATTAAACACTCCAGTAGTGTACTCAGTTACATTAAAGTCCTTCCTGTCAGGAATATGAAACTAGGCAGTCTGGACGTCACCTTCTTGTTCACAAAAGTTCACACTACATTGGTTATTAATTTTCACCACTGAGAAGTCAGTCATGCTCTTACTTTGCTACTTCCTCCTAACGACTCCGTCTGTCTCACTGAACTTGGCATCAGTTTTCACTTCCACTTTATCAGCTAACTTACGGTATGAACATGGGGGCTCCCAACAACACTGTGCTAATTGACAAAGACACAAGCAGCAGTTGGAATCGATGTTTTAAATAAAGTTTGCAATTGCTGCTTGTGTGTTTTTATCATCTACAACTTGTGTATTCCCACGCCATCTATTACTACAGCACTGTATTAGCACATGTTTATGTGGAACATAGGCCAGTAGATTTACTGCAGTACTCTTGTATTCCTATGTTCTTCATCCCACGACACAGTGTCCCTCGTTTATATTAATAAGAGCAGAGGAGTTCTACAATAGACCTCCCCTCAAGGGAGGTTCCTTGACGCTAGTGAGGGGCTCTTGATCTAGGGAATTAATTCTATGCTCCGGTTCCCTGAATTGAGTCTGAATACCTTCCGTCTCCCCGACATGCGCTGTATGATCCTACTAGTTTAGCGCTCCCCATGATAATAATAATAATAATAATACAATAGACCTTCTGGCCCATGTTAGGCAGGTATTACATCCATACACTCAATTTCTATTATTTAATATATTTTTAAAGTTGCCTGAAGTATTGACTTCAATAATGATACTTTCTCAGTGTAATACACTCATCTACAATGTAGATAAATGGTACAGAAAACAACAGATTGATGAATAAGACACTTGTGCAGGACTTGAGTATCTTCTGGATAATAAGGACACAAAAGTATTGCACAAGTGTCTAAGTCATCACTCATCTACAACTTTATTACCAAATAAGTTCTTCCATCCCTTTGTAAATCTTAACTTGTTAAAATATGTTCACATTTTTTTTCAACACTTGTATGGTAAATATTTATCTTGTTCGTGTATTTAAAATTCTGTAACGTCTGGTCGACAGTGTAGGGCCATTGGACAGATGGATCTGGAATCTTACGGAGAGCAGTTTCTCGTAGACATCAAGAAGTGTCTGGCGTCAGGTGTGTCTGTGGGAGCCAGAGACAGAGCTTCACAGACACTGGCTGGCATCTGCCTCAACTTCTCACTCGATCTGGACGAGGCACATGACATGTCTAACAGTGACTCGGTAAGTGACAAGAAGGCGCACGACTGTCGACAACTTGTGGGAGATGAACACGAATGCATTCGTCTAAAGTGGTCGTCAACCTTCCTACACAAGTGGGTCACATTTAATGGTCAAATGTGTGATGAGGGCCACACGATTTTTGTTGAAGTGTGAAACCTACATACAAGTGAATTCATAATTTAATGTGGGCCGCATCCATTACCTAGAAGGGCCACATGCGGCCTGCGGGCCACACGTGGCCTGCGGGCCGCAGGTTGGGGATCCCTGTGTAATAAATAACTAGATCGTCTCCATTAATAAAAATAGTTTTGAAAACCGATTACTAAATGCTGCACAAGTGTCTCATTCTTCACATTTATTGAAAACGTTTCGGTCCTTGGATCTAGAAATGATCAAGATTCAATGTATTCTTGATCATTCTCCTCAAGTGATGTGGTTAACACCTACGAAGGCACTTGGCTAATATAAACAGCCAAGTGTTGCACATAGGTCGTATTCATCTGTCATAATTACATACCATTAATATATGATAGGTTCTGTTACAAAATGCAAAATCTAGACAATACTAGAAGATCAACCTATTAACCCCCCTCTAGCATCTAACATGTTTCTAGTTTGTAACAGTTTCTTAGAAAGTACTCTGGTCCAGTTAGCCTTTAAAATTAAGGTAAATTTTAATATTGCTTTAAGATTGCAACTGACAGGACACTAACGAAATAAAAATTTATATGTTTATTAACAAAGTTGTCTAGGTGGACAATATCAAAGTAAATGAATTTGATATAATTTAAGATATAAACTCCTACACTTCTCTTGTAGTGCAAAGTTAAATTGTACATATAATATAGTGGTGAAGGTACATTTACTAAACAGTACGACCAGCAAGTACCATCTAGTACGTTGTTACCAGTTATAAAAATGATACTAGCGTATACAAGTGTGTGTGTGATATTGTGTGTGTGCTCAAAGTTGTTCGTTATGTCTCAGTAAGACTTGACTCGACTTAAGACTTAAACAGTGACTGACAGTAGTCCACAAATATTCTATCTTCTTAACCAACAAGGCAATCAACACAGCTTGCTTGAACAATATGACGAACGATTCGCCGAACAATAATAATATACAAAACAGCAGCAAGGAGACAAAACGACACTAACTGAGGACCATCAGCAGATCCTCCATAAAAGTCATAAAACTCTTAATACTGAATCTAAGTTCAGCATAACCAAATCCCCGACTACGACGGTGCGTAGATGCTACACAAAGTAGATCAGAAGCTTCAGCTTGAGACCTGGATTGACTTAGAGTATCATTATGACAACCTCAGCAAAACGTCAAAAATCACTAGGTCTGAACAATGCTCTGTGAACAGAGTTACACAGAGTTACAAGATGTAAGTTTCGACTCAACAACGAAATCATACTCTACCAAAAGCAGTCTAAATAATGAACAAACAGACGTGAGGGATGCTTTCAGGACTACGAGCAGATGGAGACAGCCACGCTTGTCGAGCGATGACCAGCTATAGAGAGTAATTTTTCGACTACCAGCCTCACATCAGGTGATATCACGTGACTCGCCCCTATACTGCAGAGACGCCGGCAGATAAACATGCGAGCCGATAGTTAGCTAAGGAGTTTACCAATATGAACAGCCAACCACAACTCTCGAACAGTGAGCACAGTGAAGTGTAAATGTTACATCCTACCTAATGACATAGCTAAGTCAAATAATAATGTAAATAAAGATATTTTAATTTTAGCTATTAATGAAAATATCAGTAATATAAAATTATATGAAACCTAATATACATCAGGTATACATTATATACAGTGTCCCTTTCAGGGTCGCAACACGTACAGTTCCAGACGTTTAATGAAGAAAAATGTTTGGCCATGACTGGCTTTTTCAGGACTTGTGAAATGTTTCCCTTAATGTTCTGAACTGTATATAAATTTTTTTTTATCTAGAACTTTGACTTTATCCATAACTCGGTTGGTGGCGCACTCAGCTCACACACGGAGTCCATGGTTGGATCCCCGGTATGTGTGGCAACATTAGGACTTGTTTCCTTAAGACACCTGCTGTCCATGTTCACCTAGCAGTAAAATAGGTACTTGGGTGTTAGTCAACTGGTGTGGGTCGCATCCTGGGGACAAAATTAACACAAAATTAACCTACTTTGCCCGAAATGCTGTGAATAACAAGGAGCTCTTTATGAATTATGTCACTGATGTCAGCTAGGCCTGTATAAGTTGTATCATGTACTTGAAGAAATAAGATTATTATTATTATTATTATTATTATAACTTTCTTTTTACCCATAGCTTCTGGGTATGACCGTACCAGTGATACCGTGTACTGTATTTATTACAGGATATGTGTGTGGTGTACCGGGTTATGGCGATGCTGTCTGCCGGCACTCGTGTCTTTCAGGAGTTGAAGGTCCATCGTGTGCTGGACTTGTTCACTCTCTGTGTCCACCAGGACTATGATGGTCGCGGCCTCGGTAGCAAACTTATCGAGGTGAGATTACAGATAAGCTGAATTTTATTGTATTCACTTAGAAGCGCTAAATCCTTGGGGATTTAAGAGTCCTTTTGAAGGCTTACTCAGCCCAGTAACAACTTCAGTCAGTATTACCAAGGCTGGCTTCTCCTCAGGAAAATTAATGAATAGAAAAAGAAATAATTCAAAGATAAACACTTTATTATTTATTAATGCAAAGATAAAACATTGAAATATGAAGGTGTATCCTACTTGAAAGAAAAATGAAATGAAAAGTTGCCATTTGAATTCAACGCTAATATGTACAAGTAAACTGTGGTGTCTGGTTGATGTTGACACTGTCTTGTAGAAAATGTAGCCGTTGATGATGATGTGGGGAGTCACAGGTGTTGGTGACAACCCAACGACTAGTTCTTCACAGAGTCTAGAGCCTTGAATAGTCTGTCCAGATGACAGGAACTCAGGTTCTTTACCACTACAAAGATGAGGGGTAGTATCCTGTGCTCAACTACAATTAACCAGGTAGGTAGATCAAACAGTGATGTCTCAGGACCTGATTCAGTCAGTCTCCTTTAACACTTCTCGTTGGTTGGCAGGTGACCTGATCTGTCATTCCAAGCTGGAAAGAGAGACAGGTTACCCACTGCTTAAGAAATCACTCTCCATGATAAGGACAAGATACTTAAGAAAGGTGGTGATTATCTAAAAGTCTCATGGGGAGCTTAAAACTGAAAGGATCAAGTTTATTATTGGTCAAAAGTGAAGCTTTCAACCAATATCCACTAGATTAGGAGCAGACGCTTTTACTTATAGTTGTGCTGGGAGCTGTGAGTCGAGTGATTACTGTTTGGCCGGAGCCACACACGTCACCTTTCAGGGTGGGGGGAGAAACGGGGGAAGGATAGCGGGAGCTAGACTGATCCTACCTTAACAAGCAGCCGGCAATCAAACTATCGTTACCATATACTCGCTCGCTACTCCTATCTGTTGAACTTTCCCCTCACAGTCCTCATGAATCAAACATTCACCTTAATTGAAGGGATAACTGGCATAACAACAACAACAACAGCAACAACAACAACAACAACAACAACAACAACAACAACAACAACAACAATAATAATAATAATGAATTTGGACTCTTACATCGTCAATAAATGGCTTCTTCCCAGGGCTGACAGGACGCTCCGGTATTCGCTAGGGGACGGTTGATGTTTTGTTAAAAAAGTACTGTACGAAATTACAGCCCTGTATTTCTGATAGGTACGGAAAAGGGGAAAAACAATACCATACCGTGCCGTGCCGTGCCGTGCCGTGCCGTGCCGTGCCGTGCCGCCAGTCGTGCTTCTGTCACAGAAGAATATTGTATCTTTTTTTAATTCAGCTACGACAGAAGTTGTCCCAAATTTGAACAAGTCAGAGAGTCAATGGTGACCCCGACCTGGTTAATGAGGGTGGCGGTGGGTGCAAGTCTCAAGAAGACTGCCATAATTAGGTCAGTCTAAGAGTAGCGAGGTAGGAGTTTTTTTTTTTTTACCTGAATGTATAAACATCAAGACGTGTATTAACATCAAGATGTGTGTGTGTATCTTAGTGTACATGCACCGAGAGTTCATCTTAATTCCTATTTTAGTCATTAAAATATCCTTACTTAGTAATGGACAGGTGATTTACAGATATACCAACTCTCTTGTAGTAGAGAGGCTTCAAACCCATTAAGTAAAATGTAGCGGAGAGGCTTAAACCCGGTACACCAAGCAAAAATTTTGCAATATTTCAGAAATCTGTGGAGGCTGGTATTGAAGAAGGTTATCAAGTAGCCAGCGTTCACGCTACCAACAGCATCACTGCGAAGATCTGCACTCGCCATGGCTTCCGCATTGTCAGCTCTCTCGACCTGACCACCGTGGCTGACCAAATGGGCATTGACACCGACCTCATACCCGGCGACACCGAGGTCAAGATGTTGATCAAAGAACTTGACTCTGAAAACTCCAAGCCTGACCCTCAGTCTTCCTAACTCAGTCGTGCCTAATATAAGCTGGGTATCATGCCACATCTTGTCCAGCAAAAACTATTTTATATTTCTCGACATGAGCTGCTATAATGATAATAATAATCTTTATTTTCTACAAGTACATGATACAAATTTTACAGATTTAGCTGACATCAATTGGACAGGAAAATAACCATGCCACTTATAAATTAAATAATATAGATCTTATTACTGATTGCAAAAAGGATTTAGGAGTTCTGGTTAGCAGTAATCTAAAACCAAGACAACAGTGCATTAGTGTTCGCAGTAAAGCTAACAGAATTCTTGGCTTCATATCTAGAAGTATAAATAATAGAAGTCCTCAGGTTGTTCTTCAACTCTATATATCCTTGGTTAGGCCTCATTTAGACTATGCTGCTCAGTTCTGGTCACCGTATTACAGAATGGATATAAATGCTCTGGAAAACGTACAGAGGAGGATGACAAAGTTGATTCCATGTATCAGAAATCTTCCCTATGAGGATAGACTGAGGCCCTGAATCTGCACTCTCTCGAAAGGCGTAGAATTAAGGGGGATATGACTGAGGTGTATAAATGGAAAACAGGAATAAATAAAGGGGATGTAAACAGCGTGCTAAAAATATCTAGCCAAGACAAGACTCGCAGCAATGGTTTTAAGTTGGAAAAATTTAGATTTAGGAAGGATATAGGAAAGCACTGATTTGGTAATAGAGTCGTGGATGAGTAGAACAAACTCCCGAGTACCGTCATAGAAGCTAAGACGTTGTGTACTTTTAAAAATAGGTTAGATAAATACGTGAGTGGGTGTGAGTGGGTGTGAGTCGGACCTGACTAGCCTGTGCTAGTAGGTCTGATGCTGTGCTCTGGTAGGCAAGGCTCTTGCTTTACATGCTGAGGGTCTGTATTTCGATTCCCGGCAAGGGTGAAAACATGGTGGTAGTGCAAGCCTTGAAATCATGTCCTTCGTTGCCGCAGGTCGAACAGAACTTCTTATCCTTGGTAGGACAATCCTTGGTGATGTGCATATAAGAATAACAGCTGTAACACTGTGTGATGTGCTGGAATCTCTCGGCTTCAGTGTAACTTGGGTTGATATGGAAGTAGTGGATTGCCAGTCCCTCTACCAGAGTTCGGGCTGCTATGTTGACATCAGTGTAGGTGACCTTGAGCACTGAAGAATCGTTGGATATTTTGGTAATATGTTCCACCGTGGCCCAAGGGTTCTGGTCTTCTATTGATGACTTAATTTCTTCAATAGCCTGGGTAGTGATGAGCTTATCCAGTCGCTTAAGGAACAGTTCTCTTGGCCCTCAAAGCTGGGGAAGACATGACTTGAAGTCCTCGTTGGTTAAGAGTGGTTGTACCTCAGTGGTGATAAGTTTCTCGACTTCGATGTCGTCAGAGCAGACTACAACGAAAGCCTCTTGAAGCGATGGAATCGCATTACATTTAAACTGCAATATGCCGCTAAAGGCAGCTACAAGTGCTAGTTTGGACTGTCCCACTTCTCGGTTTGATCTTCACAAGGTTTGAGAAATGCATCATGGAAGCTGACGTCGAATGCAGAAGTAAAAGTTCCCCTTCCCAACGGGGATCTCAGGGTTTTTTGTTGGGCGTGTTTCCTCACACCTGTGGTCCTTGTTGACCCATCAGTAAAAATGGGTACCTGGACAAAATTGACCTAATTTACCCTAAATGCTCAGCATAACAAGCGGCTTTCTATATAGTAGTATGTCATTGATGTCAGCTAGACCTGTATACCTTGTACATGTACTTGTAGTAAATAAAGATATTATTATTAGTATGAACTACGTATGTGGCTTCATATTTCTCAACATGAGCTGGGTATTTAACCACAGCTTACCCAAGCTGGGTATCAGTAACACCACCACTGTCTTGACATACTGTGCATGCCTGGGTATTTCCAATCGATAAAGTGTGACAGGGTGCTGGTAAGAGGCTCTTAATCCAAGGATATGGAACTATTCTCCCTTTCATTGAATAAAATATGATTACCACCCATTCCACAGGCGCTGTATGACTTATGAGTTGTTAATTTAGTTCTTCAGAAATCTCTCCTATGAATGATTTCGAATTTAAATATTATAGTTGGAAAGACATATCTTTGTAGGTGTTTAACTTGGCCTAACATATGTGTGTGTATAAATGTTTTCCTTTTCCCGACTTTCATTCTTCTTGGCCAGACTGAAGATTTCCAGGCTTGGAACAATCACCTACGTCACTCAGGTGTGGTCAGTCTTCCTGGCCGCCTCGCCAAAAGTCTTACCTTTAAAGCTTTAATTTTGGGGAAGGTGAGGAGCTGATCGACCTTTTTACACCATCTCTGATTTTTATTTCGCACTTTTTCTAACCCCAAACTCCATTAACCAAGCTTCTGTATACACCACCACAATGCTGGGACCTGTTAGAGGCTTAGAGTTTTTAAAAAAACAACAACAGCAACAACAATAATAAAAATAATAACAATAATAATCAAAAGAATAATAGCAATAATCTCCATTATATACCTAAAATTATAAAGTTTTTTTTTCCACCTCTTCTGGATCTTAAAGCATTGCTAGCAAAGGCTTTTGCCACAGGATATGTACACTGAGGTGTATGTCTCTCAGTGTATACATGCTGCCAGTTTACTGTAGTCCCTATTTTAAGGGTTAAATTGTTCTTGTTAAGTGGCAAAAAGGTTGTCTTTCATTCATGAATCACAACTTCTCTCTAAACCTGATGACCCCCATTACCCACGTAACAAAATGCGACATCTATTAGCATAGTCTCCAGAGGATACAAGGAGGTCAACTTACTGATCTTCCTCAAGCATCTGGCATGTTACTGGTTTTGTAACTAGTCGACTTTGTTCAACGTTTTTGTGTCATCTGCATTTCTCTGGCTTATTTCTATGGCCTTCCCAAAACTCATAAACCTGACATTCCTCTTCGTCCCATCATATCCTCTGGAGGTTCTATCTCTTATTCTCTTGCTTCTTGGCTGGCCAAAACCCTCACTCCCTTTCTTGGTACTTTTTCTCCTGCTCACCTCCGTCACTCTCAAGACTTCATTGAACGGGTTCGCTCTCTCCTGACCTGTAAGATGCTTAGTCTTGACGTTGAGTCCCTCTTCACCAATGTCCCTCTTGATGATGTCCTTGATTTTCTTAGAGAGAAAGCCAATGAAAGGTTGCTTCATCTCCCTATACCTACTTATGTCTTTATTTTATTCGCCTGCGTGTGTGTGTGCGCGCCCTCGTGTGTGTGTGTGTGTATGTGTGTGTGAGTGCGCCCTCCTGTGTGTGTGTGTGCGTGGGCCCTCCTGTGTGTGTGTGTGTGTGTGTGTGTGTGCGCGCGCTCGTCTGGGTGTATGATCCACTTAATATTTCTACTTATAACTCATTACAATTGTGACCAGGTGTGGACGTGTCAGTGGCTTATTACTTTGCAAGTTGTTTAAGACTGTAACCTTGTATAGGAGTTAGTTTAATATGTTTATTATGCACCCCATACCCATCCTGTGGGCGGTAGTCAAAAGATTACAGAGGTACATAATTGGTCCAGGGACTGGACTCCAAAGTTTTGATAGCTGAGCAAGTTACAGAGGTAATGAACTCACAATTTACAAAGGTAATGAACTCACAATTTACAAAGGTAATGAACTCACAATTTACAAAGGTAATGAACTCCAGGTAAGTCTGGTCACAATCATGACAAGTTACAAAGGTATTTACAGATTACAGAGGTACGTAATGGGTCCAGGGACTGGGCCCCCAAAGTTTTGATAGCTGAACTAGGTACAAAGGTAATGAGCTCACAAGTTACAAAGGTAGTGCAGATGATTCATTACCTTTGTAACTTGTTCATGATTGTGACCAGATCTACCTGGAGTTCATTACCTTTGTAACTAGTTCAGCTATCATAACTTTGGGGTCCAGTCCCTGGACCCATTATGTACCTATGTAATCTTTTGACTACCGCCCACAGGATGGGTATGGGGTGCATAATAAACATATTCAACTAACTAACTTCCAAGGCAAATATTATTCTCAAATTTTCGGTGTAGCTCTCCTGTATCTCCTCTTCTTGCTAATCTTTACATGGAATACTTCGAGACTGTTTTTCTTCCTACTATCGATGTGCGCTCTTCACTCTGGCTCCGCTATGTTGATGACATCTTTGCTCTGTGGCCTCATGACTCTAGTCTCTTCCAACTATTTCTTGATGCTCTTAATAATCTTGCCCCTTCCATTAAGTTTAAAGCTGAATGGGAATCTAATTCCTTGCTTCCTTTCCTTGATGTTCATGTCCATCGCTCAGATACAGGTTTTGCTTTTTCTGTGTACCACAAACCTATGCACAGTGGCATGTACATTCACTACTTTTCTTATCATGCTTCCTCTGTCAAGAAAAGTGTTCTTATTTCTCTCTTTCTCCGTGTTCGCCGCATTTGTAGTCCTCAATTCCTTGAATCAGACATTTCCACTCTTCGTAATTCATTTTCTCGTCTTGGCTACCCTTCCCATTTCATAAACTCTGCCTTTTCACGTGCTAAACGGACTTTCTTCTCTCCCAAACTCTACTCCTGGGGCCTCTCATGTCCTCTGCCTTCCCTATATTTCCAGTCTTTCTAATCTCAACAAGTCTCTCCGCTCCTTAGACATCAAACTGACTTTTCGCCAGACTAATGTTCATCGCACCAATCTAGTTCATACCTCTCCTCCCACTATAGATGTTCCTGGTGTCTACTCTGTTTCCTGTTCCTCCTGTCCTCTTCAGTACTTTGACTCAAGGAGCACAAAATTAGTGTTAGGCTTGCCGACACTAACAATGTTTTTTTTCTGTCATGTCAGAGATCACCGTCATCCTATTGACTGTCTACCCTACTTTTAACTTTCACAGTCGCCATCTGGTTGAATCCTCCCGTATACAATGGTATTTCTGAGGGTAACTGTAGAAAATTATGCCTTTCGTATAAGATTTCGTTCGGATTTTCAACCCTGGAGGGTTAGGCACCCAGGATAACCCAAGAAAGTCAGTGCGTCATCGAGGACTGTCTAACTTATTTCTATTGTGGTTCTCAATTTTGTCCCCCAGGATACGACCCACACAAGTTGACTAACACCCAGGTACCTACTTACTGCTAGCTGAACAGGACAACAGGTGTAAGGAGGGTGGTGTGGGCTCTGGTTGGTGCAGATAGGGTGGGGTGGACTGTGATTGGGGCGGATAAGGTGGAGTGGATTATGATTGGTGCAAATAGGGTGGGGTGGATTGTGACTGGTGCAAATAGGGTGGGGTGGATTGTGACTGGTGCAAATAGGGTGGGGTGGATTGTGATTGGTGCAGATAGGGTGGGATGGATTGTGATTGGTGTAGATAGGGTGGGGTGGATAGTGATTGGGGCGGATAAGGTGGAGTGGATTATGATTGGTGCAAATAGGATGGGGTGGATTGTGACTGGTGCAAATAGGGTGGGGTGGATTGTGATTGGTGTAGATAGGGTGGAATGGATTGTGATTGGTGTAGATAGGGTGGGGTGGATAGTGATTGGTGCAAATAGGGGTGGGCTGGTTTGTGACTGGTGCAAATAGGGTGGGGTGGATTGTGATTGGTGTAGATAGGGTGGGGTGGATAGTGATTGGTGCAAATAGGATGGGGTGGATTGTGACTGGTGCAAATAGGGTGGGGTGGATTGTGATTGGTGCAGATAGGGTGGGATGGATTGTGATTGGTGTAGATAGGGTGGGCTGGAGAGTGATTGGGGCGGATAAGGTGGAGTGGATTATGATTGGTGCAAATAGGGTGGGGTGGATTGTGACTGGTGCAAATAGGATGGGGTGGATTGTGACTGGTGCAAATAGGGTGGGGTGGATTGTGATTGGTGTAGATAGGGTGGGATGGATTGTGATTGGTGTAGATAGGGTGGGGTGGATAGTGATTGGTGCAAATAGGTGTGGGCTGGTTTGTGACTGGTGCAAATAGGATGGGGTGGATTGTGACTGGTGCAGATATGTTGAGGGGTGGACTATGGTTGGTGCAGATAGGGTGGGGTGGACTGTGGTTGGTGCAGATAGGGTAGGGTGGACCGTGATTGGTTGGATGGGGTGTGGTTGAAGTGGTGGCCTGTGGTTAGAGGACTAAGCTGGCCTCTTTGGTGGAGAAAGGGTGGGTGGGATGCAGTTGACAGAAAGGGCTGTGGTTTACAGAGGAAAGTATCACACAAAGAGCATCTGGAACAACACCGACATTCACTGGAAGATGTCGTATCCCTCTTCTTTCAATAACAAATAACTGTCTTAGGTGCCATGTTTAATGTGCAATGCTCAGGAAGAGATACAAAGAAGCAAGTCCATAAAATCTTTTATTATAACAGTGTTAAGTCTTTATATACTGGTAGATTATGGCAATAAAGACGTGCAGGAGTCTTCCACCTGACTGGAGAATACAAGTCAGACACGCTGGGGTCGTGTGGGTCCAAGTAGGACCGAAACGTTGCCGTAAAGTTCTCTCTTATTACCTGGAGTTTACCTGGAGAGAGTTTCGGGGGTCAACGCCCCCGCGGCCCGGTCTGTGACCAGGCCTCCTGGTGGATCAGCGCCTGATCAACCAGGCTGTTGCTGCTGGCTGCACGCAAACCAACGTACGAGCCACAGCCCGGCTGATCAGGAACTGACTTTAGGTGCTTGTCCAGTGCCAGCTTGAAGACTGCCAGGGGTCTGTTGGTAATCCCCCTTATGTGTGCTGGGAGGCAGTTGAACAGTCTCGGGCCCCTGACACTTATTGTATGGTCTCTTAACGTGCTAGTGACACCCTGCTTTCATTGGGGGGATGGTGTGCATCGTCTGCCAAGTCTTTTGCTTTCGTAGTGAGTGATTTTCGTGTGCAAGTTTGGTACTAGTCCCTCTAGGATTTTCCAGGTGTATATAATCATGTATCTCTCCCTCCTGCGTTCCAGGGAATACAGGTTTAGAAACCTCAAGCGCTCCAGTATTGAGGTGTTTTATCTCCGTTATTGCGCGCCGTGAAAGTTCTCTGTACATTTTCTAGGTCGGCAATTTCACCTGCCTTGAAAGGTGCTGTTAGAGTGCAGCAATATTCCAGCCTAGATAGAACAAGTGACCTGAAGAGTGTCATCATGGGCTTGGCCTCCCTAGTTTTGAAGGTTCTCATTATCCATCCTGTCATTTTTCTAGCAGATGCGATTGATACAATGTTATGGTCCTTGAAGGTGAGATCCTCCGACATAATCACTCCTAGGTCTTTGACGTTGGTGTTTCGCTCTATTTTGTGGCCAGAATTTGTTTTGTACTCTGATGAAGATTTAATTTCCTCATGTTTACCATATCTGAGTAATTGAAATTTCTCATCGTTGAACTTCATATTGTTTTCTGCAGCCCACTGAAAGATTTGGTTGATGTCCGCCTGGAGCCTTGCAGTGTCTGCAATGGAAGACACTGTCATGCAGATTCGGGTGTCATCTGCAAAGGAAGACACGGTGCTGTGGCTGACATCCTTGTCTATGTCGGATATGAGGATGAGGAACAAGATGGGAGCTAGTACTGTGCCTTGTGGGACAGAGCTTTTCACCGTAGCTGCCTCGGACTTTACTCTGTTGACGACTACTCTCTGTGTTCTGTTAGTGAGGAAATTATAGATCCATCGACCGACTTTTCCTGTTATTCCTTTAGCGCGCATTTTGTGCGCTATTACGCCATGGTCACACTTGTCGAAGGCTTTTGCAAAGTCTGTATATATTACATCTGCATTCTTTTTGTCTTCTAGTGCATTTAGGACCTTGTCGTAGTGATCCAGTAGTTGAGACAGACAGGAGCGACCTGTTCTAAACCCATGTTGCCCTGGGTTGTGTAACTGATGGGTTTCTAGATGGGTGGTGATCTTGCTTCTTAGGACCCTTTCAAAGATTTTTATGATATGGGATGTTAGTGGCAATATAAACACAAATGCAGTATAATGTGATCCTTTATTGACTACGTTTCGCCCACACAGTGGGCGTTAGTGCTATTGGTCTGTAGTTCTTTGCTGTTGCTTTACTGCCCCCTTTGTGGAGTGGGGCTATGTCTGTTGTTTTTAGTAACTGAGGGACGACCCCCGTGTCCATGCTCCCTCTCCATAGGATGGAAAAGGCTCGTGATAGGGGCTTCTTGCAGTTCTTGATGAACACAGAGTTCCATGAGTCTGGCCCTGGGGCCGAGTGCATGGGCATGTCATTTATCGCCTGTTCGAAGTCATTTGGCGTCAGGATAACATCGGATAGGCTTGTGTTAGTCAAATTTTGTGGCTCTCTCATAAAAAATTCATTTTGGTCTTCGACTCTCAGTCTGGTTAGCGGCTTGCTAAAAACTGAGTCATATTGGGACTTGAGTAGCTCACTCATTTCCTTGCTGTCATCTGTGTAGGACCCATCTTGTTTAAGTAGGGGCCCAATACTGGACGTTGTTCTCGATTTTGATTTGGCATAGGAGAAGAAATACTTTGGGTTTCTTTCGATTTCATTTATGGCTTTTAGTTCTTCCCGCGATTCCTGACTCCTAAAGGATTCTTTTAGCTTAAGTTCGATGCTTGCTATTTCTCTGACCAGTGTCTCCCTGCGCATTTCAGATATATTGACCTCTTTTAGCCGCTCTGTTATTCTTTTCCGTCGCCTGTAAAGGGAGCGCCTGTCTCTTTCTATTTTACATCTACTCTCCTTTTTCTTAGAGGAATAAGCCTTGTGCATACATCGAGTGCCACCGAGTTAATCTGTTCTAGGCATAAGTTTGGGTCTGTGTTGCTTAGTATATCTTCCCAGCTTATATCGGTTAGGACTTGGTTTACTTGGTCCCACTTTATGTTTTTGTTATTGAAGTTGAATTTGGTGAATGCTCCCTCGTGACTAGTCTCATTTTGTCGGTCTGGGGCTCCATGCATACATGTCTGAACCTCAATTATGTTGTGATCTGAGTATATTGTTTTTGATATGGTGACATTTCTTATCAGATCATCATTGTTAGTGAAGATGAGGTCTAGTGTATTCTCCAGTCTTGTAGGCTCTATTATTTGCTGGTTTAAATTGAATTTTGTGCAGAGATTTAAAAGCTCGTGTGAGTGTGAGTTTTCATCAGAGCTGCCTCCTGGTGTTATTACTGCAACAATATTATTTGCTATATTCCTCCATTTTAGGTGCCTTAGTTGAAATCCCCCAGGAGCAAGATGTTGGGTGCAGGAGCTGGAAGATTTTCCAGACAGTGGTCAATTTTTAACAGCTGTTCCTGGAATTGCTGGGATGTTGCATCCGGAGGCTTGTAGACTACCACAATGACTAGGTTTTGGTTCTCGACCTTTACTGCTAAAACTTCCACTACGTCATTTGAGGCATTAAGCAGTTCTGTGCAAACAAGTGACTCTGCAATGTACAGGCCAACCCCCCCCTTTTGCCTGTTCACTCTGTCACATCTGTATAGGTTGTAACCTGGGATCCATACTTCGTTGTCCAAGTGATCCTTTATGTGGGTCTCAGTGAAAGCCGCGAACATTGCCTTTGCCTCTGCAAGCAGTCCACGGATGAAAGGTATTTTGTTGTTTGTAGCTGGCTTTAGACCCTGTATATTTGCAAAGGTTATGTGCAGGTTATTTGTGTATTATTCCTGTCGCGGTATTGTGCCTTCTTGTTCTTTAAGGATAAAACCAGCAGGGAGTTCATGGAGACACATAACAGTGTAGGAGTGAGTGGGTGTAAGCCCTGTGTAACAACGGGTGCAGTTCTGAAGATGGGAAGTATATTGTGCAATCTGAAGGAGAAATGGGGAGGCTGCAGGTGGAGGATAATCCGAATTGTGATATCGGCCCACTTTTGGAAAGATAATTGAATGTATGATAGTGAACGTATTTTCTTCTTTAAGTCACCCTGCCTTGGCTGGAGCTCTCTCCAGCCAAGGCAGGGTGACTTAGAGAAGAAAATACGTTCACTATCATTCATAATAAATATAAATAGCATAATAATTCAGATATTTGGGATTAATTCCATTTTTTAAATAGGAACTAAATGTTTAATGCTATTTTACAAGTTATAAAGGTCATAACAGTCTAATGTCACAACACAAATCAAACATCCACAATTGTTAACTTGATCAAGAAACCTTATATAGAGTATTGAAAGGTCAGGTTGGGTTTCAATGCAACTAAATGATACATAAAAAAAGTACTGATGTATTCAGAAAATTTTTATTTTTGGCTCTGACTTCAGTAATAATATTTCAAGAGGCACATCATTGCTCCTGCAGGAATCAAATTAAGTACTTAGTGGACACTGATCTCTATATATGTATAATGTTTATTGCCTTTGTACCAACAATACATCAGGTGGAAATAAATTCTGAATTTGAATTGTACATGATCGTCGCTGGGAGACCACTTTGTGTAATTCAAATTTAAAATTGTGTACTGTCTTTAGATAGTAATTATGACGGATAAGCAGACTCCTGATAGTATATGCCTTTTTTATTATCAATACATCATCATTCACTCCATCACTGTCTTGCCAGAGGTGCTTCTGCACTACTTAAAAAACTACAACATACCTCTCCCCTCTGGAGCACGACTGTTGACAAGTATGAAATTTGTAGGTAGTATTGTGTTTTGTTGAATGGTTTGAAAAACCGACAAGTTGAAGATTGAGACACTTATGTAGCATATGGGAATCTTTATTCAGGAAACGTTTCGCCACACAGTGGCTTCATCAGTCCAATACAAAGAGGAAGGCATAAGGAGAGGAGGAGAATGAGGTAATCAGTCCCTCAGCCTGGAGTCGATGTGTTCAGTCCATCAATCTTCTACAAGACTGAACACATCGACTCCAGGCTGAGGGACTGATTACCTCATACTCCTCCTCTCCTTATGCCTTCCTCTTTGTATTGGACTGATGAAGCCACTCTGTGGCGAAACGTTTCCTGAATAAAGATTCCCATATGCTACATAAGTGTCTCAATCTTCAGTATTGTGTTTGTTTACCAAGGTCTCAGAGTAACACCACCACCACCCACTTGCCCCTGCACTGATGTCTCAGTAATGTGAAAGTTTGTAAATCAAGCGAAAAATTGTCATATTAAAAGCTATCTCATTTTATGCCAACGACACCTACAACAAAAACAACTATGGTAGAGCAACAACAATAATTAAGTATCCAAGAAGTGATCAGGAATGAGGAGTATTTTTTTTATCTGGAGAAAGTATTGCTGTAAATTTACTACGTACCAATGAGAGTCATTCTCTTGAAGGCCGGGATGTTTCGATGCCGGTTACTGGGAAATGGAGCTGTCCTCTCATTCCCCATTCGCTGTATGACACAGCAAATGGGGAATGAGAGTATGACCTATCAGTATGACCACACAGGCAGTTTAGCCTAAGGTTAAATTATGTCAGTGCTGTACAACTGCCTACAAAGCTAGTCTGTCCACCGTTTGATCATCAGTTTGATGATAGTTTCCTCCTGAGGTATGAGAGAGAGGTCAAGGCCAAACTCATCAGCGATGGTTTTCAGGTCCAGAGACTTGACAGTTTCGAAGCCGAGACGAGAACAGATCCTGTCCACGCTAGCGTTGGCCACCTGCACACACACAGCTTCTACGCCGCACTCACGATCCATATTCAGCACTTTCTGTGGAAATAAGAACATAAGAATGGAGGAATACTTTAGCAGCCCTACTGGCCCATGCAACCACCCATGTATTTGTCCAGTCATTTTCCAAGCCTACCCAAGAATTTGCTTCAATACCTCAGGTACTGATAAATTAGACACATGTGCAACTCTTGGGTATCTTTATTGAGGAAACGTTTCGCCACACAGTGGCTTCATCAGTCCATACGTAGGAGAAACTTGAAGAACAGGAGGAGAATTAGGTAATCAGTCCCTCAACCTTGAGTCGATGTGTTCAGTCCATCAATCTTGAGTAGAATACGGCATGTGAGCGGAGAAACAGCTTATAAACCGTAGGCAGGAGAGGTGCAGCAGTCGTAGGTGGTGTCACATTTGTTCAATGTGGAAGTAGGTCGTGCCCAAGAATTAGGCAAGCGAAGAATTCCTAAGTATTAAGATCCCAAGAAGTTGCAGTGTCTGACAGGTTTGTAGATGAATGGTTCAGAGAACCGACATGAGAATGACAGAGAACCGACATGAGTCGATGTGTTCAGTCCATCAATCTGATTACCTCATTCTCCTCCTGTTCTTCAAGTTTCTCCTACGTATGGACTGATGAAGCCACTGTGTGGAGAAACGTTTCCTCAATAAAGATACCCAAGAGTTGCACATGTGTCTAATTTATCAACATGTCGGTTCTCTGAACCATTCATCTACAAACCTCAGGTACTAACCAGACCCAACCCCTTTTTCTCATATATTTGTCTAATCTCATTTTAAAGCTACCCAAGGTGGCCTTTATTAAACATAAGAAATGGCTTGATAAAGCTCCTGGAGAGCGAAACGTTGCCACAATAAATGTCACATTAGTTGCACTTGTGTCCTTTTACTTTACATAAACATAAGAAAGAAGGAACCTGCCCATACTAGGCAGGTCCTTAATCAAACCCAACATGGTCCATGCATTTATTAGCAAATTTACCTGACCACCTAACACAGGACTCACAGACAATAATTGGGAGTCTGATGGCCACAGCCTGTTTTTGTACATAAAATATTTTGATATGTAATGCACCAGGATTACATCAAGATCTTGATCAGGGCCCACAGAACATCTGAGTTATATCGACGCCTCCTTCCAGATCCTCAGATGGGCCTTTCTTAAGATTAAGACCCTTGAAAGGATACAGTTTCTGATGAAACAATCAAAACCTGACATGTGTCATTTCCACCATGGAAGAGGTCCCAGTTGTCTGTAATTGGTACCACATTGTCTTGACAGTATTTGTCCAGCCAGCAATTAACACCAATTGCCCTGGACAACCATACATTTCCAACTACTCGCCTGGGTAAAATGCCACATATTACAGGGTGCCCTCTCTTCTTCATAATTTTATCTATTGCTGATCTATACCTGCTAATCAGGTCTTCACCCCTATGTCTGCCACCATCATTGCCTCCAGCATTGCTACGGTGTCCCGTAGCTCGATCGCAAGTGCACTCAGCTCACACACTGAGGTCCAGAGTTCGAATCTCCGGTACGGCTGGAAAACATTAGGACGTGTTTCCATAAGATATCTGCTGTCCATGTTCACCCATCAGTATAAAACGGGTACCTGAGTGTTAGTGGACTGGTGTGCATCGCATCCTGGGACAAAACTGACCTAATTTGCCAGAAGTGCTCTGCACAAGCGGCTTTCTATATAGTAATATATCACTTATGTCAGCTAGACCAGTATAAAACGGGTACCTGAGTGTTAGTGGACTGGTGTGCATCGCCAGCTACCACCAGCTGCAGCCGCAGCAAGCAGCAACAAGGCTGCTCCTATATCTTGCCGTCCCCTGGGCCTATCCGAACTCCAGTGATGGCCAAATTTGCAAGTACTGCTGCAACAACATGCAAGTTAACTATAGTTACATAAAAACTGACGGTGACGACAACGAAATGGACTAAATATAAGAACATAAGAACATAAGAACATAAGAATGTAGGAACACTGCAGAAGGCCTACTGGCCCATTCGAGGCAGGTCCTTATCAAAACGACATCTACCTAAAGCTACTCAAGAAACAACTCTCACACCCCCCAACACCAATCAAACCCAGCCCCTCCCACTCATATATTTGTCCAGTCTCTTCTTAAAGCTGCCCAAGGTCCTAGCCTCTATCACCCCACTGGGAAGACTGTTCCACGCATCTACAACTCTGTTAGAAAACCAGTACTTACCTATGTCCTTTCTAAATCTAAATTTATCCAACTTAAATCCATTATTCCTGGTTCTTACTGGTTCGACATCCTCAGTACTTTATTAATGTCTCCCTTGTTTATGCCCTCATCCACTTATACACTTAATGATATCTCCCTCATTCTACGCCTCTCCAGAGAGTGGAGATTTAAGGCTTTTTAAGTCTATCTTCATACGGGAGGTTCCTTACACAGTTAAATCATTTTAGTCATTCTTCTCGTATGTCTCTAATGGTCTATGTCCATCCTGTAGTAAGGGGGCCAAAAAAAGGGGGGGGAAAAACCCCCTTTTTTCCAAAAAGGGGGGAAAAAAATTTTTTCCCGGGCCCCCTTTTAAAAAAGGGGGGGCCTTTTTTTTGGGGGTTTTTTTTCCCCGGGGAAAAAACCTTTTTGGGGGGTTTTTTTTTTTTTTTTTAAAAAAAACCTTATTACCCCGGGGTTTTTTGGGGAAGGGAAAAACCCCCCCCCCAAGCCCCCGGGGCCCCCCCGGGCGCCCCGGTTTTTAAAAACCCCCCCCCCCCCAAAAAAAAGGAAATTTGGGTTAAAAAAAACCAAAAAAGGAAAAAAAAAAAAAAAAAAAAAAAATTTAAAAGGAAAAAAAAAACCCCCTTTGGGGGGGGGCCCCCCCCCAAAAAAAAAAACCCCCCCCCCAAAAACCCAATAAAAAAACCCCCCCCCCAAAAAAAAAAACCCCCCCCCCCCCCAAATTTTTTTTTTTCCCCCGGGGAAAGGGTTTCCCTTTCCCCCCTTTAAAAAAAAAATTTTTTTTTTTAAAAACCCCCAAAAACCCTTTTTTTTTTTTTAAAAAAAATTTTTCCTTTTTTCCCCCCTTTTTTCCCCCCCCTTTTAATAAATTTTTTTTTTCCCCCTTCCCCCCCCCCCTTTTTTAATTTTTTTCCCCTTTTCCCCCCCCCTTTTTTTTTTAAATTTTTTTTGGGGGTTTTTAACCTTTTTTTTTTTTCCCCCCGGGGGGGTCGTAAAAAAGGGGGGACAAAACCCAAAAAATTTTCCCAATTAAAAAAACCCCGGCCCCAAAAAATTTTTTTTTTAAAAAAAACCCCCAAAAACCCCCCCAAAAAATTAAAAAAAGGGGAAAAAGGGGAAAAAATTTTTCCCCCAAAAAAAAGGGGGTTTAAATTTTTTTTGGGGCATAAAAAAAAAAGGGGTTTTAAAAATTTAAAGGAAAAAAATTTTTTTTGGGGGGGAAAAATTTTAAACCCCCCCGGGGGGGGCCCCCCCCCTTTTTCCCCCCCAAAAAAACCCCAAAAAAAAAGGGGGCCCCCCCCCGGGGGAAAAATAAATTTAAAAAAAAATTTTTTTTGGGGGAAAAAAGGGGAAAAAAAGGGGGGGGAAAAAAAAAAAATTTTTTTTCCCCGGGAAAAGGGGGGTTTAACCCCAAAAGGAAAAAAAACCAAAAAAGGGGGGAAAACCCCCCAAAAAAAATGGGGGGGAAAAAAAACCAAAAAAACCCCCGGAAAAAAAAGGGGGGGGGGTTTTTTAAAATTTTTTTTTGGGGGGGGGGGGGGGAAAATTTAAGGGGGGGAAAAGGGGGGGAGGGGGGGTTTTTTGGGGAAAAATTTTTGTTTTAATTTTTAAGGGGGGGGAAAAGGGGTTTTAAAAAGGGGAAAAAAAAAAAAATTTTTTTTTTTAAAAAAAAGGGGAAAAAAAAAAGGGGCAAAAGGGGAAAAATTTATAAAAAAAAAAATTTTGGGGAAAAAAAAAGGGGGGGGGGAAAAAAAAATTTTTTTTTTTTAAGAAAAAAAAATTGGGGGGGGGAAATAAAAAAACACCGAAAGGAAGGAAACCCCCCCCCAAAAAAAAAAGGAAATTTTTTTTTTCCCCCCTTTTAAAAAACCCCCCCCAAAAAAAAAAAAACCCCTTTTTCCCCCGGGGGGAAAAAAAAATTCCCCCCAAAAAAAAAAACCCCCAAAAAAAACCCAAAAAAAGGAATTCCCCCCCCCCCCCCCCCCCCCCCCCCCCCCCCCCCCCCCTTTTTTTTTTAAAAAATTTTTTAAAAAAAACCTAAAAACCCCAAAAAATTTTAAAAAAAAAACCAAAAAAAAAAAGGGGGGAAATTTGGGGGGGGGGGGGGGGAAAAAAAAAAAAAAAAAACCCCCCTTTTTTTTTTGGGGTTTTTTTTTTTTTCCCCTTTGGTTTTTTTTTTTTTTTAAAAAAACCCCTTTCCCCAATTTTTTTTTTTTTTTTGGGGGGTTTTTCCTTTTTTTTTTTCCCCCCTTTTTAAAAAGGGGGTTTTTAAAAAAAAGGGGGGAAACCCTTTTTTTTTTTGGGGGGAACGGGGAGGCAAAAAAAAATTAAAAAAAAAAAAAAAAGGGGTTGGGGTTTGTCCCTTTTTTTTAAAAATTTTTCCCCCCAAAGACCTTTTAAAAAAAAAATTTTTTTGGGTTTGAAAAAACCCCCCCCTTTTTTAAAAAATTTCCCCCCCCCCCCTTTTAAAATTTTCCCCGGGGGTTTTTTGGGGGGGGAAAAAATTTTTTGGGGTTTCAATAATCTGTTTTCAGCAAAAAAATAAGGCTATGCAAAAAAGGGTTTAAACCCCCTTTTAGGATTAAATAGCTACACCCAACTAATTTTGTAAAACCAAACCCGGATCACCCCGTTCTCAGCCACCCTAATTGGGGCCAAAATACTTTTTCAACCGCGCTGGAAAAACATTTGTCAGTCGGCGTCCCTTTCCACAGGGCTTAGTGATCATTTCATCATTTTTCTGCACCCGGAAAAAAACACTGGGATAGGATGGCCCAAACGGACAATAAAAT